TTTTGTTTTTTTGTCAAGCTCATATATCTTATCATATGCAATATATTGTAGTAAATTATTATAACTAAAAAATTATGGTGCATTTAATTTTCTTTCACTAATTACTACATATTTTCTAAAGACACGGTGTTTGTTAGGTTGCTGCATAATCAACTTAAATCACTCTAACCCACCATGCCATGCATTTTATTCAATTTTTTTTGTGATAAAATAATAGACAATTGACTAAATAAACATCATCTAAATAAAAATTTCCAAGTTTTTCTCACAATTTCCCTGATTTTTATTCAATTTTTATAGATATCGATATTTTCTCGATATTTCCATCGATATATCCGTGTTTTTGGACCACTGATATTTTCCAAACTCTCGATATTTTAGACCTTGATACTAAGGGCTGGTTTCACACAGCTTTTTCACTTATTATGTTGAGCCGAAGTGGATTGCATACCAACCTTATTGTGACATGTGTACACTTTGCACTCTGTCTTAAGCAAGCTGAAAATCCTGCTTTTGTTTTTCATCATCATTTCTTGAAGCATATTCTTCCTTCCCAGGGCCTTAAAAAGAAACCAAAAACTCAATTATTTCTTCCCTGATCATACTCTACGAATAAAATAAAATAAAACTTAATGCCAAGAGAAATGAAAAGCTTATATTATTCTTCCTATTGGTAGTAGAATCATGTTCACCGTCTTAGGGTTTGATAGAGTTTGTTGACCCAAATAAAGAAATTAAGAGAAGAAGAGAAAAGCTAGCTGACAGACTGAAAGAGCATCTCTCATGGTCTTAACACTTTTGACCAGAACTAGACTTAGCTTGTAGCTACAGGAGAGAATATTGTAGATTCAATTATGATATGCAGCCGACCATGTGCAATGCATGGCGTAGATCCCGGCCTTTGTAAAGTTAAGCTTAGGCGCAGCCCCATAATTTAGGCCTCAGAAAACAGAAAAGCATGCTGCACTCGCATCGGTAGGCAAAACAAAAAGAAACATCTACATAATGGGCACAAAAGGCCATGACATCTCTCACTTATTTTCACTTCTAAGCTCTCGTGAACCTACCTTTTGTTTTTCCCAGTCTGGAGGTTAGGTTACACTGGTACTATAATGTGTGAGTAAACCCTTCGAAAGCAAAACACTCCAAGAAAAATATTATTCCAAAACTTTTAGCATTCTACTTAAGTTCATAATTGTAACTAAAATAATTGAGTTAGATGCTCTGTAACTATCAGATGGGTGTTTTCCTAACTTTTTTTTATATACATAATAATAATAGTGATAGACTAAACTACTCTAATTTACATAAAAATGAACTCGAACTTAAATGTAAGGAGACGGCTCATTGTCGTGGAGGGCTAAACCCTTGCGGTACGTTTCCTAACTTTTTTTATATACATAGTAATAATTAGGGATGGATGTGATTCGAAATCCGCAACTTTTTCTAGCAACCGGAAGCCAACTACAACTTTGCAGTATTGACATATTTGATACTGCAACTTTTGCGATTGGATCGATAATCGCAGTCGATGTCGGCAAAACTGCAAAAACCAATTTTATATTATTTTTCAGTTTGAAAAATGAAATTCTATTGGCATCTTCACCCAAAGCTTCTCTTTATTTTTTGGGACATTTTGGAAAAGGCTAAAGGAGAGAAATATTTTGAAAAGAAGCCAAAATGGACAAAAATGCCCTTATTTATTTTTTGATTTCCTAAGGACTTCCTTACATTTGCATGTTTTTTGTTTGAAAGTTGAGGGCTTTTCTGTCTTTTTTGGAAAATATTTGGCTTTTTCCAAAAGTGAAAGTGTTTTTTTTGGCTAAAACCTAAATTTACTTTATTGGTGTTTTGCCAATTCCGAAAAGCTTGTCAGACAGAGAGAGGAATAAGGAAAAAAGGAAAAAAAAGAAAGAGGGAAAGGAGATGGAAACAGACGGAGAGAGGGAGAGAAGAAGAGGAAGGGAAAAAAAAGGTGAGAGATGAGAGATAGAAAGATATTGAGATAGACTTGTAAACGAGTTAGATTTGGATTGGATCGGATTATTATCGGATTTATAAAAAATCAAAATGTCATTAGTACCCTCGTTATTTTATTGTATTTATCTACTTTTTATATTAATTTTTGATATTTTATCATCAAAATTAGTTTTAAGTGTATTCTTAGTGCATATAAAACTAAAATTACTCATTTATATATATATAATATTAATATAAAACATAGAAAAACAATTATAATTCGGATCAGATCAATTACTTAAAATTATACATCATGTTAAGTCGGATCGGATCAATTATAATTCAAATCCGTATTTATTTATAATTGGATTTGGATTGTAATCAGATTGAAAAGTCCAATCCATCTCCTATTAATTACACTGAATTTGAATTAAAATTCGATCTATTGACAGGTCTAGACAAAGAGAGAGTAAAAAGTTAAAAAAAAATAGAGAGAGGGAGACCAGAAGACAGAGAATTAACTTTTACATTGGAGTGTTTCCTAACTTTTACACACATATATATGGCAGAAAAAAGTAAAAAAGTAAAAAAAAAAATAAAAATTGGAGATTGATGGAGCATTTGGTCGGTGGGTGAGGGGCAAGAAGGGTATATAATTAGATAGTCCTGGAAAATTTTGAAGAAGGTGCTGAGACAAGCCCAGTCAGCCTACGGAGCCCGTAGGAGAGAAAAAGGCCCACCAAAAAGGAGTGGGTTTGTAAATGAAAGCACCTACACATAGGGTTCAATGGGACCCCCTCAAAATTCCCAAATGACAACATCAAATCATTATCATTGCTTCAGTTCATTGAATGGAAAATCAGGAAAATATTTTATTTTGGGTTACTATTAATGGGTTGGATGGAAATAGACCAACAAACAAATTGACAAAACCTGGAAAATATTGTGTTCAAACTAAGGTGGAGTAGGCATAGGGGATGGATGGGTTTGAATGAATAATTTTTCCATGTGGGTTTTGTGAACCGCCAAACCAATTGGCCCCGATAGCTTCATTGACATTCCATGCAAACCTCTGCAACTACCAAGTGACAAAACGCAACTAAACCATCATAAACTGGCCTACCACCATTTGCTTCCTTCAAAGTTTCAAACTAACTTCGTGACTTGCAAGAGATTTTGTGTGGATGCATTAGAACATAGCAAACTTTTCACATTGTCGTTAATTAATCATCTCACAAAATCACCATCAACGACCAAACCCAAGATGATGCCAACTTTTTTCTTCTTCTTGTTTTTTGTTTGTCTGATAAAAAGACAAGTATGCAACACGAGGACTGTCCGAGGAGGTTGTTATTTTTGGTTTAGGTTCGAATTATTTGGCATTGGGAGCTGGCAGGCAACATGAAATTTGTGATTGCAAATTGCAATGCTGCAAGTTTGGTGTGTGTAGGCCGGAGCTCAACCCCCTTCTCCTCCTGTAGGACTCTGTGTTTGGGTTAGGCCACAGTCGTTTAATAGTAACAAGCCCAATTACTCCAAGGCCATTGTGGGCAAACATAATTAGGCCTTGTTTGGTTGTATTGTTCGGATCCAATTAAAATAGACAAGTCTCTTGGTCATGTTTGGTGCTACCTCTCATATGATCATAGTCATTCTATAGTAAGAATCTTATATATGACCTTTAGGTGAGGTCATATCTCTTAATTGTTTGATCAAGCTAACCAATTTGATCAAACAGTTAAGAGATAGGGTCTCACCTAAAGGCCACATATAAGGCCCTCCCTATAGAATTCTTGCATATGCTCAACTAGAATTCTATAGTTCGGTTTTTTCCAAAAGTGAAATTTTGTGTGTGGCTAAAACCTAAATTTACTTAAAAATAAACTGTTTTTGTGATGTTACTGCTGTATTATGGTTTGCTGGGCCCATGATTCTGTTTTATCTCTTCAAGGTATTGTTTGTTTCTTGGGCTTGCAATTTGGGCCTTATTTGAATAATTGTTCACGTGTTACTCATAAAATATCGCATTGTCAAGAAAAAACAAAATTGTTTTTTGTATGAAGAAACACGTGCGTGTCTTACGCGCGAAGAGGAAGCCTGCAGGAAAGCCATGCATTCATTTCATGGTGACCGACGGCAAATTAAGGAGGACAAGAAAGCGAATAAGATCAATGCCGGACAAGAAAGCATGTAGGAATCTTCCTCTTGCGCCAATACCCCCCCAATTTGAACCATACTTTGGCCTCTTTCTATTTTGGAAATGTCAGCGGGGACGGGGAGGGGTGGGAATAACAAGTCAAGACCAAATTTATACAAGAATTATGACCTTTTGTGTTTTTCATGATATGGACAACTTGTCATGTTATGTTATGTGTGCGATTGATATTAAAAGACGGACTGAGAGGTTGGTTTCTAGTTCACGTGTTTTCATAACTTTTCTTTTGTTTTGGCTTTATATTTTACCCCAACGGTTGTGATGAATATGAAATTTAGTTTGCTGTGTGAGTCTTTTTTTTGTTGTTACATACGATATCTGGAGAAAATAGGATTCGAACATAGAATTTCGGATGTAAATAACAGTAATTATTCTTAACTATTTTAGCCTACAAATCCCTTCCGAACCTATAATGTCTTTGGCGAAATATAAGAAGATGAAATCAAGATTTACTAAATAAGAGTAAACCAAAATTGAAAGAGGCTATAGCTCTAGATAGCCCCGTAATCTTTGGAGCTTTGGGGCATTAAAGATCCGCAAAGACGAGGTTATTTTCGTCAATTCATTTTAAAACATCGCCATCACGATCGAAACCAAAGAACATAACGTGGAGACCGGAATAGCCGGTAAAAGTCATTAACAAAGCTTACGTGGACCCCACATGTCCCTTAGAACTGTAAAATAGTGACCGACACGCGTCCGGCCTTATCCATTTCCCACACAATTTTCCCTTTAAATTCTGAATCCAACTCTCCAACTGTTTAGTGTAATTGTTAACCAAAGTTCCCAATCCAACGTCTTTCCCAAGCTTTTTCTCTCTCTCAAAATGTCCACCAATCTCATCCATTTTCGTCCCACCCTGATCGGGCCGCATGCCACCGGAAACCGAAAGCCCGACTCAGTTACCCGGAAAGGCTCGGCGTCCAAGTGGTGGACCCCCCTTTTCGGGTGGTCCTCCGAACCCGACTACATTGACTCCCACTCGAAGACCGAGTCCCGGGACAAGGCCGAGAGCGGAGCGGACTCGGGCCCCGACTCGAAGCCGTGGAGATCTCGGTTCGCGCCTGGTTGCTTCACAGAGGAGAAGGCGAGGCAGCTCCGGATCAAGACCATGGAGACGGACTCGTTTCATGACGCCATGTACCACTCGTCAATCGCCTCCAGGCTGGCCTCCGATTTCAAGAACCGATCCGATCTATGAGCCGGCGACTTAGGTGTAATAAAGCCCCAAATCTTCTATCTTTCTTTTTTCATAAAGTAGGATTTTAGGGGTGGAAAATGTGAAAGATGGTGACGTCTATGATGTAATTAACGCTTGTTTTTAGTTAATTGCGTGGCTTAGACGATTAAGCGTGTAATTATTGATGTGTGTGTATGTATATATAATCCTTTTTCTTTATTATTGGATTTGCTATTTCGATTACAAGATATTGGATTATTTGCTTGTATGAGCTTGTGCCTGATAGAAATGGTGATGATAATGACGATGACAGATTATGATGAATGATGCTGGCTGAGCCTAACCATAAGTAATTTGATCTGTTTAGATTGGTTCAACCGTTCAATATTTCAGGTTGGGAATTCGAATCCCCCTCCTTAAATATTTGGGTGTTCCTATCCCTTCCTTCCCGAACCCCAATCCCCCCCTGCCGATAGGTTCAATATTTCCCGAGCTCGAATACCCTGCCCCTCCCCACAAATCCCCCTACTGATAAGTTCAAAATATCGCTCAAGTGAGGGCTAATGTGGGGCTCATCAAATTAAGTTAAAGTTGGATACGGTATATTTGAATCTTGGGTATCCAAACTGGGAATATGCCTATGAGAATCGCACTGAATGAATGCATAAGGTAATGAAACTAACGACGGTCAACAAGTGCCCTAATTTGGATGATTGGGGCCTGAATATTTCTCAAATTATAAAGCTCAGATGTAAGAGGCCAGCTCCCCTGCAGCTAAGCCAGTATGAAATATCCTGCATAACTAGCAGAGTGTTGACCAACCCGTCTTAGCACATCAAGCATCCATCCACAAAAACAATAACAAACCTTACAATTCCCAAAACCAGTTTAGTCATTCTGTATTTATTTCACTTGCAATTATAAGCAGAAAAATGATTCGGATTCTTGCACCTCCATCTGGTGAAAAGAATATGAAATGTATTGTGTTGTAAATTGTATCACTCCATGACAAATGGATATAATCTGAAACTACCCTAAAAAAATATCAAAGTTGGCTTCAGCTATTGTTGGTGCCATTGGAACACTGGTCTGCAACGAACCCGCAAATCAATTCAAGCCATGCTCCGCACATTTACTTGCTCTCAACATCATACAGATCAGTTCTGAATACGTGCATCAAGGATAAACAATAGAATGCGGAGAAGACAATAACGGCAAGCAGAGAGAAAATAGTTGGGGTTTTGAGGAGATCATAAGACTCGAAAATTATTGAGTAGCAATTACAGGAACATAAATCTGATTCTGGAATTCCAATTCTCAAAAGAAACCACATCAGGATGCAGTTGCATAACTTTGTCTCACAAGCACACAAGACAGAATGAGTCATACTGTTATGTATTCAACTGAGGTTGAAGGTAATCTATTTCAACTACTGATATCTCCAATCCATTATCACATTATTCATACAAATTCTAACTTGCAAGTGAAAATATTTCTCGAAAACCAATTCCCCTAACCTTGCTCCTCTCACCCCTGGTTTACCACCAGAATATACACTGGTACAATGAGAGAAGAGCAGATGGAGACATTTTGCATGCTTCTATACAAGGACTTCATCTCATGCAAAGAAAGAAATGTGCTTTACCATCCCCTTCTGCTCCATCATTATAGTATAGATTCTACCCTCATTTATAGGCGCTCCCAAAGAGCTGGGAACAAAAAAGGATAAAAAAAAGTGCCCCATCTTATTTACACACACAGACATCCCATAACATTTCATATTCTATAGCCACTCATTGCAAAAGCAAATCCCTAAAGATCCAAACTTTGAGGCAGAAAATACTAAAATCTATCAACTTTAGTTCCAATTTCTAAGCAAGGAAGTAATTATTTCCAACTATTAACCTCCGTTCACAAGCTATATGCAATGATCAAAACTTTTCATTTCTTCTAGAATGGTGAATTTTCAGCAGCGTAGCACCAACCTATCTATTCAATACATAATCTATCAATCATAAAAAGAACTCACCATAAAAAAAAGGATACACCAAATAAAAGCCATGAGCAAATGCTCCCACCAACACAGCAGTAAACAAACGGTCCCGTACAACTGGGTTCTTACGCAGCGAGAGTCGAACTGCAAAATCAAATATCCACAGCGAAAATTGTTGAAGGGACAAGACCCAGATGGGAAATATCGATAAAATCAAGTAAAAAAAGAGTTGAGAAAATTGCAAAACTTACTGAGCGGAAGAACAGGGGCATATATAAGAGGAACCAAGAACTTAAATTGGGACCCTGGGCTTCTCTTTCTTATAGCAGCCTCCCTTTCAACATATTCATGAACACAATTTGATATCAATACTAAAAAAGCGAACAAATTTCTATGAATTGAAAGGCAAAAACACAGACACACATAAGAAATATACGTTGTGGGTTTCGCCGGACTTACTGATTAGAGGGATCGGACGATGAAGGCCACGAGGCCATGGCGGGGTCGGAGGGTTTCAGATCTGATGTGATGTGGTGGTCTAAAACTTACTGCCGGCAGCCTTTTTTGTTGTTTAATCTTCGACGACTGTATTATTCTTTTTTTTTTCTTGTTGCTCCCCTAGTAAGCCGAAAATCACGGCGTGATGCTACAAAATTATTTATTTTTCGTTTATAATTACATAATTCAATTTCATAAAATTATTATTATACACAAAAAAATTATATGTGGGACCGTCTAGTGGGTGAAATTCCGAAAATAGAAATAGTTCGTTCTTATAGAACGTTCAGGAAACAAAAGTAATCAAATCCAACGGCGGAGATGATAGCGTCAATCTAAAGCCACGCGCTCAGAGCCAGAGATCCATATAAGTGCCTCCCTCCTCACCTCTCTAAACTCAAGTAGCCGTCTTCTTCTCCTTGCGTCTCTGTCACTCCGCTGCTCTTAGATTCTCTCCCCACTCACTACCTTGAACCCAATGGTAACTCTCTATCTCTATCTCTATCTCGCTAATATTTTTCTCCTTATGTTAAGGTTTAGCTGTTCACGAGATCGATCTTTTTCGTTTCGCTTTAGGTCATATTAAATTATCAATATATAATATATTTTTTAATTTTTTAATTTTTTTTCATGTCTTTCAAATTTGTTCTGTAGGCTTTGCCAAACCAACAGACTGTTGATTATCCCAGCTTTAAGCTTGTCATCGTCGGCGATGGAGGCACTGGTAGATTTTACGTTTCCCTGTTTTCTGTCTGATTTTCTGAATAGCTGTTTTGTTTGACTATCCTGGCACAAGTGTTTCATGTTTAGAATTAGGTTTTTGAGAAGAATGTGATTCGCTTGGATAAAAAGTTCACTGTTTCCTGGTAGTTTTTGTATTGGATTTTGATAGATTTGATCAACGCTTATCAGCACAAGGGCAAACAAAAACAAAACCAAAAAAATACTTTGTTCTACTATGGTCCCTGCCTGAGATTCTAAAGAAATAATTTCCCATAAAAGTAAAGAATTTCCATGGGTTATTTCTTTCTTGTTTGAGATTTGTTTCTCTGTGAACTTGATGATTTTCCTGGAGTTATTTTACTCTAAAACAAATGCTGTCTATGGGTTCGAGGCTTTCCCGCTTGTTTTTCAGTATATGTATATGTTCGTACCTTCGTTTTAATGGGAATTTCGGAGCTACAATGGGAAGGAATGAAGAAGCAATTACCGTTGCTCTCTACACTATAGTGTGCTGTGTGGTAATTTGGACTTGGGCTGAATGGTGATGAATTGTGCAGGAAAAACCACTTTTGTGAAGAGGCATCTCACTGGAGAGTTTGAGAAGAAATATGAACGTAAGACTCCTCTTTGACATTTCACTACATGGTTCAATTAATTATTATTATTATTATTTCTGATTGAGTTATGTTTGGTTATACTTGCAAACAGCAACCATTGGTGTGGAGGTTCATCCTTTGGATTTCTTCACAAATTGCGGAAAGATCCGCTTTTACTGCTGGGATACTGCTGGGCAAGAGAAGTTTGGTGGTCTTCGGGATGGCTACTAGTAAGTGGAGTTTTATTTTGATGTTGCTATGATTTATTTGGTATTTCACGTCCACATAAAATCATGTAATCCGCTAATGACACTTAATATATTTTGTGTCTTTCAGAACATTTTACTGTATCTTTTAATTTGTTATACATGTGAAATAATGTTAGGATAAACTAATTGTGACAACGTACACCTCAATGGTATCTAGTTGTATTTGATATTGTGATGGATAAAGGAATTTTGTATGAAGGAGATGGGACTGAAAGATGCAATCACCTTTTTCATTTTTTCATTGATACGTAATATTAGCATGGTATGACTGATAGACACAGAAATATTTGTTAGTAGCTAGAACAATATTTAAGTATCGCATGGAAGCTTTTATGCTTTAGTGAAGAGTGTAAATCTCATTCTTGTGATTTTGTGATTAACTGCAACCTCTAGGTTTTTCACCAACTTTTTATCTGGTGGTTCACAAGATTAATTGCCCTTTCATTGTGCTGCTTAGTTTAAGGTCTGACCTGAAATTATCTGTTAAATTATGCAGTATTCACGGGCAATGTGCAATCATTATGTTTGACGTCACAGCTAGGTTGACATACAAGAATGTTCCTACATGGCACCGTGATCTCTGTCGGTGGGTTGACTAAATTTCTAGATGTCATGTCATGTCTGTTCTTTCTTTTATTGTTTCATTTTTCCAGCTGTTGATGATGGCTTGGTATTTTGGCTCTAAAAATTGTAATTTCAGGGTCTGTGAGAACATACCCATTGTTCTCTGTGGAAACAAGGTTGATGTGAAGAACAGGCAGGTTAAAGCCAAGCAGGTTACCTTCCACAGGAAGAAGAATCTGCAATACTATGAAATATCGGCAAAGAGCAACTACAATTTTGAGAAGCCTTTCCTCTACCTGGCTAGGAAGCTTGCAGGGTAATTAAGATAAATATTCTCTTTTTTCCTTTCAGTACTTGAGTGTTGATAATAATACTAAAGGTTAATATTTGCTGGTTTTATTTTAGTGACACAAATCTTCATTTCGTTGAGTCTCCTGCCCTTGCTCCTCCAGAAGTACACATTGACTTGGCTGCTCAACAACAGTAAGAACTTTGTCTATGCTGGTCTTCTTTGTTGTAAATCTTGAAATTGTTCGACTCCTATGTTCTTGAGGCTACCATAATCGAACTTTTCAGTTGAAACTGTTAAGCGTCATAGCTTCACCAATCCTTTGTGGCCATTGAGTTCTATTAAGAACTGAATTTTCTGAAGAAGATTTTCTTATGTCGGTGTTTGTTGCTTCTTGCAGGCATGAAGCGGAGCTTGCACAGGCAGCCAATCAGCCTCTTCCTGATGACGATGATGATGCATTTGAGTAGAGGGCTTTAAATACTCTGCTAGGATGGTTTTCATTCAACCTATATTTCTATTTAGGCGTTATCATTGGTAGTTGTCCTGGAAATGTTGACAATATATTGGAGGATTTGATTTTCGGAAATGTCATATAACAACGACTCTATTTAGGCGGATTTAAATTCAGCTAATATGAGCTATTGATTATCAATGGTTGTAAAATCAGATGTCGTTGCCTTTTAAGCATCCTTGATTGAAGGCTGTGCTGGTTTGCCTTTGTTCATGGCTTTCTATATTTCTCGTCTGTAGAAGAATCTGTAAGGTAAGGTCTTGTCCAAAACAGTGGATCTGGGTTTTGGACGGTTCGGAATGTGAGGCGGCGAAGGCCTTCTTGAGCAATTGGATAGGCGCTGTTGGGCGTTAATGTACGGCCTTAAGTTCAAATAATGGTGGAAGATCCCATTCCACCAAAAATCAATAGAAAAGAGGAGCAGCTTTTATAATGGGGAGGAGCGGTTGTGTTGAGTGAGTGTGTTTAGGAATTAAATTTGTTGAGTGGGTGTGTTTAGGAATTAAATTCAGCATTTTTATTGATCAGATAGGGGATCAAACCGAACCGAATTGAATCGAATGGGCTTTTCAGGCTTCGGAGGAGTGGAGTAAAATTTTGCAGCACAATTGAGCCCGTCTAAGAAAAGGGCTGGGCCTAATCTGGTCCATTGTTGTGAATTTTTGATAAGCTGCCAAACCTCAGAAATAAAAAGGCTCCACAGTTGCAAAGATGAAGCATATGTCCATGGGTGTAGTGTGCAACGTGATACGAACATATGATAAGACAATAATAATAACTGGGAAGTGGGTTGGAAGATTCTCTAAAAGCAAAGATGAGCTACAAGGCATGTGGTACCACCACTGCCAGGCGACTTTGAAAGCCCTGTTTTTAAAAAGCTCCTCAATCAATGTAAGAGCAAGCAAGCAGCAGGATTATTTTTTTGATGATTGATGTTGATTTTTCTAGTTCCAGTGGTACCAGGCCAGCAGCTTTGTTGCAAAAACAAGAGCATATGATACTTGTGTGTTGGGTGTGTGTGTGTGTGTGGGGGAGAGAGAGAGAGAGAGAGAGAGAGAGAGAGAGAGAGATAAGAGGAGGAGTAGATATTTGTGTGTTGTGTTCGTGTGTTAGATAGATTTTGGGTGCGTTCCTTATTTCCAATGATGTGGTTTTTGTTGTGTCGTAATTTAGAATGAGGAAAAGCAGCAGCAACACTTAACTGCATTACATTACAAGTGTACTATAAGCTTAATTCTTGCCTCATCACGACATGTGAAGTCCACATGGCATCTGGTCTGCCTGCCTGCCCTCTCTGGGCCGTACACCCAACACAAAAACAAGGACCCCCACCTCCCCCAACCCAAACCCACCCACTTGCTGTGTCTCAGGAACTACTCAAGTATAACTGAAGCAAATCTGTTTGCTATTTTGTTCTTTTCTCTTCTTTCAGAGCCAACAAATAAAAACGAAAAAAATGAGCCCCAAAATGAACATCAATAGGACTTGTCCTAATCGGTGTCGGTTTTCCAAGCGCACTCAAGGAGACCCAATGTCTATGTATCACTGTGGGTATACATACCACTAGGCATCCACATCATTCCAACCACAAGTGGGGCAAGTGAAATAGCTGGTCTTACCCCCCTTGCCATTGCCAGCATATGCCTAGCTACAACACTATGATATATGTTTTGATGTATGTTTTGTTATGTCATGTTATGTGGGATTGTGGGCATGATGCCCCTTAACTTGAAGGACACTGTCCAAAACTTCAGGGGCTCATCTCATTGAATGAATGAATGAATGAATACAAGTATTTGGGAGATTAGAGAGAGCTAAATTTTAAAACAAAGGTGGCTTTCAGTGTCGGTAGGTGGTCGGGTGTGGCTTAAATATTAGTTCATGGCCTTTGGGCTAAGGCTAGCTAGCAGATGACTAGTAGCAGGGCCACAATATCATATCCCAATTGGCAATAGCAAGCAACTAGTCCCCTCCCCTCCCCTCCCCTTCAGTTGCTGCTTCTCTCATTTTCATAGAGAGAGATCATCATCATCTTTTTTTCAAAAGACAAAACTAGTCATCTTCTACTTGCTATTATCCTGAATGGGCTCTCTTTGCAATGACTTCTCCTGTCTTGCTTCCTTTTGGTGAAATGGCTATTAATTCTTTCTTTTTCTTTTCTGAATCATGATAGCTCCTCCACCCTCATCATCACCCGCTCTTGTTTTTAGTGTCCATATCTTTCTGTAACTTCCTCATATTCGTTTATTTCTCATAAGTTTTGGCATATGTATTCAATTTTATTAATGTTGTTGGATATGTAAAAGCTCCTTGCTCTAGTTGGTCAAGGTATTAATGTGCATGTCGTTTTGCACTCGAGTCCAATCTCTCTTCCTGTATATTGGTATAATTATCTAGGTTATTAGGCAGGAACTTACTTACACATCATGTGTCACATAGTCACTTTTTTTTAATTACACGTCCTAGTTACTTAATTAATCATATTACTACTAATAAAAGTTAATTAAGATGCATTTGATAGCTTGCTATGTTCTTGGTTGGCACAACATATATACATGCAAATAAATAGGTATGGGAAAGGGGAGAGGGGGGAGTAGGAAAATAATAATGAAAGTAGCTAGGTAGGCTAGCTAGATAGAAGAGGAGATGAGAAGTCCCTCCTCCTCCTCTCATCTGTCCTCATGTCATGGATGGGTAGGGTAAGGAGAGCATGATGATGAGAGGAATTCATTGTAGCTCTGCTTATAGAGGAGCCTCAGCCTGCTGTCTGTGCATCTAATAATAAATAAATAATAATAATATTTCATGTAAACTTGAAACAGGACATGTTCTGCAAAGGAGGCATGTGCTTATGCATAACGGGAACTGCCATCAATGAAACCACAGCAAGCAACTGTCCTTGTCTATCCATCCTTCATGTATACATGCAGCATCTATTTCTCTTGCCCAAACCTGAAGTTAATGCCATCATTCCCATTTCACAATTCATATATATATAAATTCTCTTATGAGTACGTTATGTATTTTCTATTATTCCTCTCTCCGTTTTCTTCCCTATTTAGGCTTCGTTTGTGATTGCTTTTTTTTTTTGGGGCCAAAAACCTGCTTCACTTTAAAATAAGATGTTTGGTAAAAATAAAATATCTCGATTATTTTAAAACTAGTGGCATTTAAAGCAGACTTTGGGTTACTTTTCAAAGCTACTTTCAAAAAAAACAAAGATAAGCCTTTAAAGAGTTTTTTAAATTCCTAAAATACCATCATTAATTTTTTTAAGGGAGTTTCACTAAAACACCCAAAATGGAGGTTGAAATTATAAAAAAACCCAAGCACTATTTAAACATATAAACACACCCAAAACCCATCATTACACACACTCAAAACCCATTTATAAACACACCCAAAAAGCTGACTTTGGGGTTGATTTTGAGTGTGTTTCTATGTTTAAATAGTGCTTGGATTTTTTTATAAATACATGTCTAGAATTGGGTTTATTTATAAATTTGTATTTTTTAAATGGCACAACCTCCACCTCCACATCCAACTCTACCACCACCACCATCACCACCACATCCTCCTCCGCCACCACCACCACAACAACCACCACCACCTCCTCCTCCATCTCCACCACCTCCACCTCCGTCACCACCTCCACTACCTCCACTCCACAACCGCCATCCCCACCACCACCAAGCATCTTCACATCCATCTCTTTCACCACCTCCATTACGTTCCACCACATAATTAGCACAAAATAACTTTCAACATCATGTATGTTTGAGTCATTATTTACAGTTACAACAGTTTTATATTAAAATTTACCAAACGGTTTTGACATTGGTTTTTGTACTAACAACACTTTAAAAGAATTATTTACCAAACATAGAGTAACTTTACTTTACAACTAATTATTTCCAAAGCACAACAAAAGCAATTTTATTTTATTTTATTTTTTAAGTGACAACAATCTCAAACTCACCCTTACAATGGCATTCACATGATAATAATTTGCGGACATCAAATAACTATATATTTATTTATGCTTGTAGCTATTATAGTTCAATTCACATATCTCTCTCTATCTCTCTCTCTCTCTTAGTTGTTGTGATGATCTGGATCCCATGCTTTGTTTCTTTTTGAAAATTCAACTTCATTGTCACTTGAAAACGCAAGGACTTTCGGTCCTGTCATCTAATATTCTCAGCTACCTGCTTTTACTTTGCTGCTGCAGTCCAGTTTGAGGCTCTGGTTGTGCAAATGCACTCAATCCATATTACTTTTATTAGTTAGTTTAGAGCCCCTCACATTCACATCACATCATGGAATGACATGCCACTGCCCTTCCAATGAGTAGTAGCTTAGCTTCTGTGTGAGAATCCTGCAAAAAGTAAATAAAAGATCCTTTTAACCTCCCATTCCCTCTTTCTTGAGACTTGAGGTCAAATTATTTACTTGAAAAAATAATAATACCAACACAAAGATCATTGAAACATTCCAAACCTTTGTTTGAAATGAAAGTTGAAACACTCTGCTGCCAATAAATAATTAATTCCATAAGTATATAGTATATATCAAATTTAAAATTTGAGGGAGGGTGTCACATGATTCACTGTCTGTAAACATTCCTCCAACATATTCCTAATTCCTACCAGTAAATATAAATATAAACATTGCCTTGCATAATCATGCAACCACACCACGTGCCTCGATCTCACACCCTTCATTTTATATAGAATAATCTAGAAACATATAATTCGATCCAAATCAAGATTAAACAAGAGATTAAGCAGTAAATCAGGCAACTTATTACAAGACATGGTCGTTGAAATGGACAAGGATGGTTTTATAGAGACAAAACATTTGCCGTTTTTCTTAAACGAAAATGTAGCATGCACTTGCTTCTTTGCTTTACAATATCTATCTCTGCCGGTAAAATCTTGGGAAGGTAGAAAAAGGTGGTAAAATAAATAGTCATCATAGTCTCATCTCATAGAAGGCAGCGAACAAGAAAAGGGTTTGTAAACAAAACAAACAAAACCAAAAAAATAATAAAAAGGTGACCCTCGATTCACGAGGGGTTGTGGGTGTGGCCAACCTGTTCTGTTGGTGGAGGAAAAAGTACGGATTTGCCTTTGCCTCTTCCACTGTGTGATTCTTTGTACATTACTGGCACTGCCAGAGGTGGTTATCTTCGTACTCAAAGACAAACCTGACCTGCCATTGCCATTGCCATTCTGGTTTTTTCTTTTTTCTTTGTGATATTCCAAAACTGCCCATGTCGGGTTTGTGCTAGACGATTGGGTGGGGGTCCCCTTTGACAGTCCAAACTCATCTCTCTATGATTACATTCTTTGCTTAACCATATCTTTCTTTTCATTACTCTACTCGTTTTAAGCCCATGATTTATTTCATGCTATGCCGGGACAAACTTTGAATCAGTGACTTTTTGTTTGCTTTGCACCAAAGACAAACCAATCCTATCCTAACACTACTGGATGTTGTTGTGTGGATATATGTCTATCTATGTCAATTATTTAAATTCACCAATTGCCTATTTTAAGGGTTGTGTTTGTGAATTGTGAGTATGATCCCTGTAAATGTTTTTTTATTTCTTTCTTTCTATTTTGGTTTTTCCAAAGGAGATGCTGCAAACATACGAAAATGTTCGAGTCTCTCTTGTATGTATGTTAGGTTTTAATTTCGACGTTAAGTTCCCTATATTCAACCATTGGATGAGATTCGAAAATAATGAACTTCATAACCAACATTTCTCTTTGTTGTTTAGTCTTTTCTTTCCCCATCAAATATAGAAACTAGCTGGCCAGATACTGCTCATGTATCGGCTATCGATTATTTTTTATTATTTTTTTGGTCAAGGGCTATCGATTAGTTAGGTGTAAATATAACTTAGGTAGTGGCAGGAAGGGTGATTTGGTAACTTGAGGAAGAAAAGAAAAGAAATCTGAATCTGCCAAAGCTTTTGAGTAGATGTAACGAAAGGCGTTTGTATGCGGACAAAATGTAGAGAAAAGTCAATCATTGGGCGACACGTGGCAAACCATGAGTTGACGTGGATGGGGATCTAATAAGACAGTGCAGCTGGAGCCTGGACCTGTAGGACGAGAGGTCCTGGACCCGTCACACCTTTGATTGCGTGGACGAAAACTCCTTCATTGCCCCCCTGAGCCCTCACGTAATAAAATATTGAACATAATAAATATGACATCACAAATCAACCAAACCCGGAATATGTGATGCAAAATTTCTTCAACCCAAGTTTCAAACTTATATATATTTTATAAACGATCTATTTAAAATATAGATAGAGATATGATCAATAATATGATCGATAATAGAGTACATGTAACATTTTCGTATGGGCGCAAAATAATATTTGATTTGATTTTTAAAATATAAAAAAAAAGATTGTGAACCTTATCTAGGAATTTGAGTTGTGTGTGGGTTTAGAAAATGTGAAAAGTTAGCTAGAAAGAGGGAGAAAATCCTCAAAAACATTACATATGAATGGTGCACTTTTCGCTAAAAGCATGCGCATACGCATGCTCTTTTTAAGTTGATAGTGAAACTCAACTTTCTTTCTTTTTTTTCTTGATTGACCATCTAATCTAAGTGCGCAAATCTTGACCACCACCCATATTAAATCAAGCGTAATTACTACGGAATTATTACTAAGATGAAATTCTCAAAGGATAACCAAAGCTCTAGTTCAAATTTGGATTTGGCATGAGTGCCTATGGATACTCCAACTAGGGTTTTCAATTCTCATCATGGAAGTCAAATCGTTTTTTTTAATTTGTAAAATGGGACCCAGTTGGCCAGGTATGCCATATACGGAACGACACGTGGATACAATATTACTCCAAAATGGCTGGATTAGAGTTGGGGTGATTGTAGCGTAGGGGAGCGAGCGGTGACTTTGTGATCATTACAAGTAAAAGAAAAAGAAAGAGAGAGATAATATGGTGGGGGGAGGGGAGGGATTTGGTAGCAAATCCCTTGGTTTGCTCTTGTAGCTAGCAAGTGTCTATCTTTACCAACTAAATCTTTTATCACCTTGGAAAAGTTTCAATCTTCTTTAGACTCTATCTATCTGTATCCTAAGATCCTAAGAAAAATAAGTGATGATCTCACCTTCAATTATTGTCAATTATTTTCATTGGAATTTTGGGTCAAAACTCTATCAAGGAATCTCAATCATTTGCATCCTCAAATTTTGTTTCTAGAAGAGACATCATACATTCTCTTCTCATGTTAATTGTATAATTAATCACATTGACACGATTTAAGACTAATTGTCTTCTTGATTTGATGAAGTGACGGTACGAAAATACTTTTAACATAAATATAAAGGTCTGCAGTTTTTCGGGTTCAATCAGCTCGTACCATTTTGGATTTAGATCCTTATATATATATATATATATATATATATATAAGTTTGCAAGCAAAGGTACCTGATGAGGGTGCAGCCTTTTCTTGGTTAGATTATTCGAAAACTCCATAGCTTGTTAAGTGGTTGCATATTCTAGTTTGTCTTTTTGCCCTTTTTTTCTTCTTTAATTTTGCAGAGAAACAAAAGATTATGCATGTTTTATAAGGAGTCTAGCTAGGCCAACCTGATTCTGTCAATATTCACCTTTTTTAAAGCTCCATATTCGTATTTCGTATCCACCACTATATCTAACTAAAGCTAGACAGTACAGGCCCTTCAAGGACGATCCAACTCAGATCTTCATTGAAATCTCCAATCTCTCTCTCTCTCTCTCTCTCTCTCTCTCTCTCTCTCTCTCTCTCTCTCTCTCTCTCATGCATGCAAGCTCAATTAATTATCTTAATTAAGATTGATTGATCACAGCTCTTGTTTAAATTGACCTAAAGTTTCCAAACCAATTTTGTTGCATTCCCTCCATGGAGGCCTCGTGACCAGCCCCACCTTTGTGGCTTTGTACAATGAAATATATGCATGCAGCACATGTATCGCGCGTGCCTTGTCCCTATGTACTTGAACATGTTCCCTTCCTTTTTGTTAGATATACATGTGTTTATATTTGAAGGAGGGGCCGGGAGATTCGTACACAAGCCTTGAAGAGAACTGCTTTTAATTACTTGAGTTATATTTAATGATCAAAATATAGGTCAATGTGAACGGTTAGTTTGTCGATTTTTGGTCACGAAGGTAGGGTTGGTCGAAGTCAGCAGCTGTTGCTCTGCTGCCACCCTTTGCCACAAAACTCTTTAGTGTAACCGTTGAGTTTGTTTTAAAATTGTAGGACCCATGAAGGGCACATGGCCCAACATGTCTTGGGTCTATTAGGACAAGATTAGGGGACGGTGCCTTTGCAGTGTTGGGGTCAACTAGAGCATATTTCCCCACCAAGAGCACAGAAAGAAACCCTAAAATAGACAGCCTTGTTTCCATGTGCACAAATTTAAGAGCAACATTCCAAATCTACAACCTCCTTTGTGCCCTCTATCGTTCTTCCTTCCCTCCCAAACCCATCTTTTTGGGAACAAAAGGAAGAAGCTTGGATATGATATCCTTCCCTTTTCATCAACCCAAGATTAATTAGCTACATTATATATGTTTAATTATAATTTAGTTTCAATTCAACAAACCTTGTTTGATTTTCCCAAATGTGACCTAGCTAGCTAGGTCGAAATCAAGAGAAGAAGAAAAAAAAAGTGAAAGGTGTTGATTTGGTTATCATTATATTTCCAATGTCAATATAGATTAACTATTTAAGAACATGGGTTATGATTATTGAATAAAATCATGGAGTTGACTGATCACTAAATTCTAAATAGATCTTTTTGTTAATATATATTCGTGTGGGGCTCATTATAGGTTTAGTTTAATCAAGAAATCTAGTTGTGAACATGATACATCGCATAAGATTGAAGTGGGGAAAAAGATGTTAGTGACATGATTAGTATGGAAATTTCAAAATCAACGACATGACTATGTCCATAAGTGATTAGTGTATATTACTAGCAAATTATAGACGGTGATTATTTACATCCATACAAAATAGTGTGGTAACTTAACGTGTTAAAAGACGATTCACTATGCATAGAATTGCCAAATTCCATAATTAGACAAATAAAAGAGGTTGGATTAACATTCCTCCGAAAAGAGAGGGGGGAAGGGGGGGTTGTGGTTTGGCATCATGCAAGTTTTTAGAGTTGGCTCCCATAGAATAAAAGTTTTAGAGTTCTTAATTTAAATTTTTTATGTATAGGGATAGAAGATTTGAACTCAGACAACAACGAAATCAGAACACTGAAATCTTCAATTGCCAGAAATTGAAATGATAAAAATCTAAATTCCGTCATTTTAGAATTCTATATAATTTTCAATTCTTTCATCCAAACGGAATTTAGATTTTGATGGGATTCTATGTACCCTCCTTAGGAAATAACAACAACAACAAAAAAAGAAAAAAAAAGAAGCTGAAAATAATATAAAACTAACGAATGTAGATAAAAGGATTAGTAGTGCATTAATTTGTGAATTAGAAATTAGAATGTCAATTTTGATGGGATAGATAGAAGGTCAATAAAAAATGATAATGAAAACGTCTTATAAGCTTGGAACATTCTTACATTAGAATGTTCAACAAAAAAATTATTTGGTTTATCGAAGAAAAGTACAAGAAAATTGAAATAGAAATTGATAGTGGAAATCAAGTGGGGATATAATAATACTAGTAGGAAAAGACAAGGGCAACATTGTCTTCAAAAGAATTGATCCCCACTCCCACTCGTTGACCCCTCTTACAAATTACAATTCCAAGGGCGGTCCCTACGCCGTTGGCCTTGCTTGCACTTGCTCATATCCTCCCCTCATCTCCCTCCTAAATTAAAACCATCTCTCTCTCTCTCTCTCTCTCTCTCTCTCTCTCTCTCTCTCTCTCTCAGCTTTGTAGTATTAAACCCAAGAAGACACACTAACAAGTAACAACAGCACAAGCTAGCAAAGCAGATAAAAAGAAGCAAAGCAAAGAAAGGCTGCTCTGCTCTCCACACTTATAAGGAGGAAGAGGGAAGAGAGGCTGAGCTGCTGCTAGCTTAGCTCTAGGCACCATCATTTTAAGGATCAATCAATTAAGCTTAGCTAGCTAGCTGCTTAATTAGTTTAAGAAACGATGGAGCAGGAGCTCTTGTGCTGGCTCAAGTTTGTCTGTATATCTCTGATGGTGCTGGTTTTTTCTCTAAGGATGGCAGTGCTGCTTTGGTGGAGGCCCAGAAAAATTGAGGAACATTTTGGGAAGCAAGGGATCAGAGGACCCCCTTACCGTTTCTTCATTGGAAATGTTAAGGAACTTGTGGGGATGATGATCAAGGCCTCTTCTCAAACCATGCCTTCCACCTCTCACAATATTCTCCCCAGAGTTCTTCCTTTTTACCATCACTGGAAAAAAATCTATGGTATTAATTACTCTCCTACTCTCTCTCTCTCTCTTCTCATCATTCAACAACTGGGTTTTCAATTGTTTGGCTTGTCATCTTTTCTCTCGTCTCAAAACTTTTTAATGGATATTGCATTCACACAACCATATCTTTCTTTTACTTTTTTTTTAATGTTCTAAACAAGTTGATGAAATGTACTGATTAATTAACATGGTTTTTTGAGCCTTCTCTTCTTCTTCTTCTTCTTCTTATTATTATTATTATTTTTTCTTTTGGAAGGTGAAATCTTTAAAGCTTCTACCATACATGATTGTTCCTTTACCTTGGGCTTGTGATGATCAGAATTTGTGGCTTTTTGAAAGGCTTGTTTTTAGTCTTGGTACTTCTTCTCAAGCCTTTCTCAGGCTTTTTTTTCTGAGCTTGGATGCTTGATGTTGAAGTTCAGATTTTGTTCTTTTCCGCAGCTTTCTTTTCCTTTGAAACTTTATCATATTGTTAATTAAAAACTTTTCCAGCATGGTAATAATCTTGCTAATGTCCTTTTTCTGCAATCAAAGTGAAGTCTGAAAATGTTCAACTTTTGCGGGAAGTAAAGCTTTCATCTACTTTTTCAGTTTTTCCAATTGTCTTCTTTCTTTTGTTTTTTTTTTTTTTCAAGGGTGGCTTGAGTTTCCCAAATGAAGTTGTATGTTTGTGCTTGGTTGTCTTCTTCTTCCTAGTTTGTTTTTGCTCTCTGTTGTAGGGTCTACACTATCCATCTTCCTCCTCCATTATTTATAATTTCCTTTTCCTTTTTCTGTTTCTTTTTCTTTTTCACAGGTGCAACATTTCTTGTGTGGTTTGGACCTACAGTTCGACTCACTGTTTCTGATCCTGATCTCATCCGTGAAATTTTTACTTCAAAGTCAGAATTCTATGAGAAAAATGAGGCTCACCCACTTGTTAAACAGCTCGAGGGCGATGGCCTCCTAAGCCTCAAAGGTGAAAAATGGGCTCACCATAGAAAAATCATTACCCCTACCTTCCATATGGAGAATGTCAAGGTACTTAATTAACTTTCTTAATAATGTTTTATTACCTTTTAATTGATTGATTAATGATGATAATGAATGCTTTTCAGTTGTTGATACCGGTGATGGCCACAAGTATAGTAGATATGATGGACAAATGGTCAGCAATGTCCAGCTCTGGTGAGGTGGAGATTGAAGTTTCTGAGTGGTTCCAAAACCTAACAGAAGATATAATTACCAGAACAGCCTTTGGAAGCAGCTATGAAGATGGCAAAGCCATTTTCAGGCTTCAAGCTCAACAAATGGTGCTTGTTGCCGAGGCTTTTCAAAAAGTTTTCATCCCTGGTTATAGGTAATTAAAACTTATAAACTTCATGCACATATTTTATTTTTATAAGTAACCGATGACATATTGCTTATGGTTAATTTTGTTTCTAGATTTTTGCCCACAAAAAGAAACATAAATTCTTGGAAATTGGACAAGGAAATCAAGAAATCCCTGATAAAACTGATCGACCGGAGGAGAGAGAATTCAAACTCGGGCAACAACAACAACAATGTGCACGAAAAATGTCCCAAGGATTTACTCGGCCTTATGATTCAAGCCTCAAATTCTTCCCCCTCCTCCAATATCACTGTCAACGACATTGTTGAAGAGTGCAAGAGCTTTTTCTTTGCCGGCAAACAGACAACGTCCAATTTGCTGACATGGACAACGGTTCTCCTAGCAATGCACCCACAGTGGCAGCTAGAGGCACGTGCCGAGGTGCTGAAGATGTGTGGAGCACGTGACCTACCAACCAAGGACGATGTTGTGAAGCTTAAGACGGTAAGCCAAAACCTTGGTTTTACATATTGGGACTAAAATCGTGTTTTGTCTGTTTGCCCGTGTTTTTTTCCCACACAAAACCAAACTGCCACCTTTTGCTTTGTGTTACACGTTTTTGACAGAAAACATTCAAATGCAGATGTTAGGCACTAAGGGTCAAATACATAATTCTAACTGTCTGTTGTTATACGTGGAATGATACGGTACATTCGTATGCAGCTGAATATGATCCTAAATGAATCACTACGGTTGTACCCGCCTACTATCGCGACAATCCGACGGTCAAGAACGGATGTGGAGCTTGGGGGTTACAAGGTCCCACGCGGGACCGAGCTTTTGATTCCGATCTTGGCTGTTCATCATGATCAGAGCATATGGGGGAATGACGCGAAGGAGTTCAATCCGGCCCGATTCGCGGAGGGCGTGGCCCGAGCCGCCAAGCATCCGGTGGCGTTCATTCCATTTGGGCTCGGGGTCCGCACATGCATTGGGCAAAATCTAGCGTTGTTGCAGGCAAAATTAGCTCTGGCCATCATACTTCAACGCTTCTCTTTCAGGCTGGCCCCCACCTATCAACACGCACCAACGGTCCTGATGCTACTTTACCCTCAATACGGTGCGCCCATCATTTTTCAACGTCTGCCCCTACATGAGCAGGATCAAGATCAAGGGCCCTGATCTATTACTACCATTATGCATACCATTGGTTTGCGTGTGAGTGTGCGTATGATTCGAAGTGAATTGACCGAAATACCCATTTGGCCGATTTCCTTAATTTGGTTCTGTTTTGCCTGTTTCGTTTTCTTAACGCTGGGTTTACTTATGAGATAAATATCTTAAGAGAAAGATGTTGAACTCAGTTAACCTAGAGTTACTGACCCCCATCACCCATGATGACGACCATGATCATGGGGTTTTTATTTTTAACCAAACAAAAATCTTAACCCTGGCATGGCATGGCAGGTAAGTTTTTGTTTTATGAATCTTAGGAATTAGTGAATTGCTAACAATTAAGTAGGTAGCTTGCTCTGTGTCTCCTGTTTGTATGTAATGTATATTCTCCTCTGTTTCTACAAAGTTTTGTAATATCATCATCCTTAATTGGTTGTCTCTCAACTCAAGCCATGTTGCCTCTGCTGCTCTGTCTCCCTGTCTGCATTAAGAAAAATTTACATTTTTGGTGCTGAACTGATCAAGAATCATTTGGTTGATGGCAATTGTGAAATCTACCTGAGACGAGAATGAGATACAGAACAAATCCCATTGGCCTCTTCAAACATTGAAGAGCCAAAATTGGTCTCTGATTTGACTCCTGGACAGGGTACCTTACCCTCTTTTGGTCTATTCAATTGGCAATACATTTGTTTCGTGGAGAATTCATCAGTTGATTAGAAAACAAGTTTGTTGCAACCCAAACAACTGTATGATGTATGTTACCAATGCATTAACATCTGCTTATTTCATGGCAAAGTCTAGAGCAGCTATATATATATATATATATATATATATATATATATATATGCTCTTTTGTAAATGGCCACCAGTTAAGAATGAGCAATCCAATGTAACTCTTTTAGGGCAACTCCTTTCCATTAAAATAGTTATCTTAAATTGCAAGTAAAACCAGTGTTGTATAATATAATACATCTACAACTAGAAATCTAGATGTTGAAAGATGAATGTAAGTAATAGTAGAAAGCATTAGAAAACTATGCTCACAAACACAACGCAAGAATTTCTGCTATTTTATTTACATATCCATAAGAAAAAGTAGGTGCCCCTTTATAGTTTACAGTTTGTGATAAGCATGGGGTGCTCAAATCCTTGACTCTTGAGCTTTGATTATTATTTCTAAACAAGATTAAAAAGAAAAAGAAAATTGGATGCATTGTTAGTTACTAGAAACAAGAGTAAAAGCAAGGACACATGCAGTACCCAAGGCATGAAAAATGATAGTTTTAAGCAAAGTGACTGTAAGCCAGCATGCAGATGCACTTTTTTGATACATTCTCCTTTTTATGGGGTTTAGGGCTTTTCAGTTGCAGTTTGTTTTTGTGTCTAATTTTGAGTTGTAGTTTAGTAAGGAGTAAGATTTGAGAGACAACCAACCCCTTCTTTTTGTATTACTTTTTGGGATCTTCTCATGCTCTTTGGAAGGTAGCTCTAATTTTGGGGTTTTGAATTCTTATGGTCCCCATGGAAGCATGTGGGTTTGGAGCTCTACAAGTAACAAATCTCTCCTCCTCCTCCTCCTCTTCTGTTTTTGTGTGTATTTTACCTTTTTTGTGTGTTAAAGGAATCAATAGCATGCCAAGAACCATGTGATCTCATCACTCATCCCCTAATTACCTTATTATGACTCATAATTTTCAATTCACAAGTTAATTAAACCACCTCCTCTTTCTATCTGGGGCATCATGGACCATGCTGGTGCATGCATTAATGGTGATTACAATCTGATTATTCTTCCTAATCACGAGGATTATATCTTGAAAATTGTGCTATGTTAAGGACCAGAAGAAAACCATTATTATTTTATGTGTATGCCTTCCTTAATCTTGGTGAAGTGTGTTGCTTTGCTTTTCTTTGCTTTGTTTTCTATCTGAATAGAAGGCATGAGAAGAGAGCCAGAATTACCTTTACGATACCCCAATCACATAAAACAAGAATATATAAATATTTCACGTACCTATGATTCTTCCTTAACCTTTTTCTCTTTTCCCAATTGTTTAATCTGTAACACGCTTCCCCCGATAAATTTTGTAATCCATGTCCTAATCTTAATGTTAATTAACTTTAACTTTTCATTTATATTAGAGGCTTCTCTGTTCTCTTGTGCTTGGTCTTGAGCATGCTTCCCACATTAACATCTAGGCAATGTCTCCCCCACTTTGCTAGGCGACAAAATCAACACTCCAATGACTCCATCTCAAAAGGTCAAGCTAACATTCTAAAATATTGGTTAAATACAACGACAATAATGCAGAAAAACTTGGAGCAAAAGTTATGGTTATTTGAACCATATTTTGTTTTTGTGCAAGTAGCCGTTGGAACCCTAAGAACAGGAACAAGAAATTAAATTGATTATCTCCATGCCATGGCCCATGGAAGATATGTCCACCTCCTAGTCTAAGGAATTGGGTTTTTTGTCCCCCCACCCTACCAAATTTTAAAAATATAAGGGTTTTATAGATCCCTAGAAAATATTTAAGATCTATGGTTGTGACAGAGTCATCCCAATTCCCTAATCAAACAAAGTATATATTGATATCAATATTAATCAGCCCCAAATGTCTCCCAATTTTGCAGCCATGCCAAAGAAATTTAGCTGGCTAATGTCTGCCCTTGATTAATGCGACTCTGTCGGTCTGCCATAGACCAAAGGCCTAGCTCTTTCTGTTTTTGCATGATTGGCCATTTTCTCCTTCTCTTCTCTTGCCCCCATTTGGCAACTTGGCATGCATCACTCCTTCCTTCTTCTATATACTATATCATCCATAATTCCATATATATATATATATATAATAAGTTAGTTGTAAGATAATGTCTATTTTTAACAGAATATCATGAATCAATGTCCTCTGATACAAGCAGATCCCAACATTTGCTGACAACCAATAACAAATTCTGGCTGATTGAGCTTTCATCCCAAGTTTACAACAGCAGCGCATCACAGACACGTTCTCTGTTCAAAAAGAAAGTGGCATGCAAAAAACTAAACTCAATATACAGACACAGAGATAAAGTGAGCATATAACAATAAATGTTGTATATCTTATTAGGTAAAAGGAGCTAAGTTGCAGATGTGGACTTAGCGAAATTGACTAAAGTGTATGCGGTTTCCACTTTACACTCAAGTTCAAATTCCTCTTCTCGTATTTTATACTAAAGTAGAATATCGTTTGCAATAGAAAAACAGCTAAGTTTTAGTGTTAGATATTTCAAATGACACTAATAACATTCTTGTCCAAATTGAGGTTGATACCTGATAAGATGGAGAACTCGAGCACCGCCCAACCACGTCATCTGAGGAAAGATATTATTAGTTAAGATGATGAGGAAATTGAAAGCTTGATTAGGAGCCTAAACTCAAATCAGTTGAAATCCCCATCTCTCTCTCTCTCTCTCCTCTCTCTCTCTCTCTCTCTCTCTCTCTCTATCTGTCTGTCTCTATTTGTGAGAGGAGCAAAATCACATGGGAATAACAATCATGAAGAGATGCAAGTGAGACAAGAGCAGAGGATTTGGTGGAGCCACATAAATGCACCACACCACTCATTTTGTTAATCCATAAACGCCCCTTTTGCTTGCAAGAATGACACCTTTGGAACTTTGTTGGTCATTTCAGTGACAACCCCCACCTGTTTCATTGCCCTTTTGTTTCAAGATTCTAACTCTGAACAAGAAACAGCAGAAATTTAGCGACATTTTAATCAATCAGGAGTCAGGACGACGCGTATATAAATTTCAAGGTTGTCATGTGGTCATCCTTGGACCAGCTCTCTAATCACTAACAGTCAAACACGTTTTGTGAATAAGATAATAGGAATGCATACATGGGTTAGGTTACTCGGTCGAGTTAGTGAGTCTCATTGCTTATCAAATTTATATGATTTTCTTCCAATATTGGATATGTGAAGCCCAAGATTCCCTCGCCCAACTTACCAAGAATACCTAAACTTGGGCCCATAAAACTGTTTTCTTTTTTGTCAAGGGGCCCATAAAATATTGGTGCTTTTGTATGTACGGACAATGAACTTGTTTGGTTTCAAAAACACTTGATATGAAAATCTTCGTTGTCCTTTCGCATGCTCTGAAAATCTTCACAAGATATACAAATAAAGTACAAGCAACCTCCTCATGAACAGTAGCTACACCATCTTCTCTTCTCTGGTGATAAAAACAAATTAACGACAGGACATGTTAAGTTGAGAGACCAAACAATGGCATGGGGTGAAAGTACAAACTGAGCACAGATTAGCAGAATCATTTTGAGTTGCTAAGAGCAACTCCAAGGGATATGATGTCATCATCACATGCTCAAGATCCTTGGAATAATTGCATCAAATTGAAAAATTTGATGGGCGGTGGACACCAGTCACAGCTTTATGGTATTCAAACCAAGCTGATATATATTTCACGTACAAAGCATCTGCAGCAGGAACCATAAACAAAAAATCGAACTCAGGCCTGCTTAGATAAAATTTGAAGCCTCACAAACACAAGTGAGATAGAGAAATGAAACGACTTGCAAGGACGGACAGAAACAAATAATATTTCCACCTAATGGACATCCAAATCCAGTACTATTTTTCCATGGAAAATTAATAAGGACAAAACAAACTAATTTGAGATCAGTGAGAGTATAATGTTGTATTAACGGAGAAATGAGTTATGTTTCCTTCAGTGTTCTGTGTTCAGTATAGCCCTCTCCTGCCTACCTCAGTTCAAAACTTGCAGTAAAAGAATATGGCTCACAATCTGTGTCAACCATGAGCAAGCAAAAAGTTTGTGATATGCTACAAATACTGCAATCATCACAAAGAATTCAAGAGCTGTAGGGCAGTCCAGATGCCTATAATCAGGACATTGATATCTTCTTACTGCTTACACCCAGAGAGTTGACAAATTCATTCCTGGTTTGCAGATTAGAGATTAGAGTTTGAAACCACTCCCAATACAAAACTTCTGGATAATATCACTCATCTTAATTAACAATGCTTATCTGTTTGATGGAAACTTTAAGCTTGAAAATAGATTGACTGCCCATGCTTATGGAAAATTACAATATTTTGAACTTTACTTTTAAAATTGAAAGAACCTTGACTAGGCTTCATAACTTATAACCTTCCCCGCCTAAATAAAAAGAGACATAACACACAACCCAAAAAAAAACAGCAGTAAACCATATAAACGAAGAATGTCACGAAATGCAACTGCGTTCACATGATAAATTTCTAGCAGGTGGAGAATAAGAAAGATATCAGCAAGTCAAATAAGTTATATGCGGATGTGCTGAGGTTTGAAATAAAACCTTTAAAAGCATCCACATCTCAGGTCATCCTGTGTCAGCCACAAGATTCTTGTCTTACATCCTTCAGCAAAACAGTTATCTAAGGCTCACAGGTGGCCTGACATGGAAGAATGAAGAGACCAGATATGTTAATGAGAACAGAAGAATCAGAAGCTGTCCTATAATAATTACCCTCGCGTCTAGACTGAGAGAAAGCTGGCAAGCCCCAAGATCATCTTTGGAGACTTGAAAGAAAGGCGACAAGCCTCCTAGTTCGGCCCTGGAAAACGCAGGGGAAGCATTAATATTGTCCACAAATGAAATTTCTTAGACTTCCAAATGATAGGGAGACAATCAAGATATTGACTTGTTATAAATCATGGAACATATTTCTCATGACTCAGGGAATCTAAGAGCAAGCATCAGCCTCACAAATCAACAGAAGGAAAAAAGATACACACTATATATGTAAATCAGATTTTTTATAAGAGCACATGCACAGTCGTTTACTTGCAAAATGCATCCATAATACATGTTTACAAAACTTCCTATGGTAAGGTTTATGTTGAACATCTTAATCACGATATGCTTCTCAGTACAATCCCAGAGATAAACAAAAGAAAATAATTGATTCACAAAGATGAGTTTGATAAAATGCGTACTTGGAAAAGTTTGTACTACATTGAGTTTCAACTATTTGTTGTAACTAAAAATAACAGGATATCAAAACATCTCATCTTGTTTCTTACAGTGGAGTAAGGTCATTAAAGAAAATTTCTTCAGATTCTACAGCTAGAAGAAAAACATGAATCAAAAGACATGGTCCCAGTTTTCCTGTCATCTAATATGAATGCTGTTATCTCCAGACACTAAGTTTCTAAGCTCCATTAAATGTTCATCATTTGATATATGGAGTGAAAGGCGAAGATTGGTCACCAATTCTTCTTGTTCCCAACTTAAAGGTCCTGACGCATGTAATGCCCCTATCGTGCAACGGTAGGCATGCAACTCTAACCTATGGATCTCAGCCGCCAATTCTTCCTTTGCAGGAAGGAGAGAGTTTCCTTCCTCATATCCCAATTGACAAATAGATTCAGCATCACATAACTGATCATCAAAATCTTCAGTAGAACTAGCAGAAACAGGAGGAGGTGACTTATAGGAATCATTGCTACCGATACTACAACTACCAACAGAGCATGTCACACTATCAGCATCATTCAACCTTAAGTTAACAGCAAAGAAACACCCAACGTCACCACTTGGTTTCCTTCTTTCCATATCCACATCAGAAAATACAGTTGCTCTGTTGTTAAGAGAAGCACGTATTTCTTTTCCACCCTGCATATGTCTTGGTACCGCAACATCTACCTGTTCAGAAAATGTGCATAAATTAGCAGAAATTACTCGGAGACGCTTGCCCTCTCTTTCAACAGCTCTAAACTTCTCAGCAGATCCATCATATGCTTCATCTTGGGAATACAAGTAGGGCGATCTTCTCTTCAGATTATGAGATAAGGCAACGTGCGTTTCATTCTTCTGAGCTTTGAGACAAGAACTTTGGTTGTACTTTAAAGTTTCACCACGCTTTCCATACTCATAATTGTTCAAACCCTGCATGCAAAAGTAAACAAAAAATAAGCACATGAAAACAAGAAGACATCTAGTGGAAGTTATTTTCTGGTCTGCACTAAATTACATTATTGATCAGTACAATTCCAACAGCCAAAGCAAATTTCCAACTTCAAACGTTCAAAATGAAACATCTATACTATTAGAGTCTATATCAATCACTTATTTGTGATGCTAAATTTTGTACAACTACTGATTAACCTTAATGCATGCTTTCTTTTCAGTAAGTGTCCACGATGCAGATTAAAAAAAGCAAAACAAAAACAAAGACCAAAAAAGCAAGTATATTGAACACAAGCTCCTCAATAAACACTTCAAAACTTTTAGACACATACAACTGCAAAATGTAAATAAAGATATTCTGAAGGAAAATATATTCAGACGACATTACCTTTCCAATCACAACCCAGTTGTCATCTTGCCAAAACTGTCTGACTCGGATTTCAAATTTTCCGACCTTAAATTCTTGGGAGGATCCAAGTAGCCTGACTAAAAAGTACTGCTTTCCTAAAACCTTTGAAATTGTTGCCATTTTCCAAGAAAAGTTGTCAAAAACCTCAACGAGATCACCAGGAACCCAATTTTCTGACACTTCCAGTGGAGGAGGGCAAGGCCTAATTGCATTTCTGGGTACCCTCTCGACAGCGGCCTTATCAGAGGCACCCTCAAATCCATCATATCTAACAGTGTAGTTGTGGCCGTTACCACAGATTATCTTGGCACAGCACCAGGAGCCTGAAGGCATCTCCTTTTTTATCAATACTTCCACGCTGCTTCCACTTTTGAATCTCATGATGCTAATGCTTTATAAAACCTGTTTTAACAATAAAACTAACGTAAGACACAAGACAAAGAATCTAAAATACAGAAGAGTCTCAGTTTTGAAATAAGATCATAAATTCATAATAATCTCGACATCTCATAAGGAAGAGTGAGGATCATTGGCGATGGAATGATTGACACTACGTAAATCAATAAAAAGAACATCTGTATAGAGAATTCTCAGCAAACAGATAAGATACCATACCATGTGTATCTTCTCTGGAAGTCGGAAATAAAATAAAACAACATAAAATTTCAATTTTTCTCTGCATCATCTAAACAACCAAACAGTCATAAAATTCAAACACTTGAAGAATTCCTTTCGTTTAAGATTAAAGGAAGAAAATTGAAAAAAGATCAGAAATTCAAATCATACTGCCAAAACATATGCTCTGCTTTGCTGCTGGGAAAATGCAACAAGATAAAAAGAACCAAACTTTGAATTCCTAAGTTTTCCATAGATTAAGACCTGAGAAAACTCAAACTAGCACTCAACTGAGCTTAAGGCAAGTAGATGGTTTAGTTTCATCGACCCAATTTCATAACACCGTCTACCAAACAAACAAAATAAAGACCCAATGTTTTCTTCTTATTTTCCAGCGTTTTCTCCGCAAACAAACAGTTGGGTGAAGGAAAAGATTTGACCCAAGAAGCAAAATTTTAACTTCTCTGTCAATTCCCTGTCTTCATCCAGAAGAAGATTAAACTGACAGGAGATGCACAGATTACAAAGCACAGAATTTTATCCAGAATCTAAATGCAGAGAGGATTAAAAGAAACATAAATGGAGAGAGTTTCACTGACCTTTTTCAATTCGGAGAGGAATTGGTTATCAGAAAAAGTTTGAACTCTGTGATTCTTCTTGTTGTTGTTGTGTTGGTTTTAGTTTTATTGTTTTTATGAATAAATTATTTTTGTGGGTATTTAAAAGGTCCAAATATTTAGCTTAATAAGCAACGAATATGGCATGGTTTCTGTGCCAAGTTGCCATCTGCCCAAGAATAGCTTGTTGAGGTGGGGATTAACTGTTAAATCTCATGGTAAACCATGGGTGTGCACTACGCATACCCTCTCCTCCTTTTTATTTATTTATTTGTTCTGTATTTTAACGGTTCATTTTGCTATGGATACATTCCGTCTACAACACATGATGCATATCTATCCATATTAGGTAAATTCCAAATACGTACAATTCCAGTTTACAAGTTACAACTCCTTCACATTTGTCTTTGCAAGTATAAGGTGAAAACAGTGATTCTAAGTCAAAATTTCAAAGTATGCAAAAACCAAGAATTATGTTTAAATGAAGAAGGAAAAGACTCGAACTTGGAGCATTGTTGTAATATTGGGACGATAAATACCACTAATTACAATTTTCAGAAATTTTATTTTATTTACTATAACGGTTTACTGAATAAATATTATTTAACTGCATTGTCACAAGCTAATTATTATTGGATTGTCACGTTGTCTTCTCTTGTGGAATTGTGTGTCTTGCATGCCAAATTGAGATATGGGTGAATGAATGGTTATCCATCTAAAGGAATTTTGTAAAGATTCACTTGGATATCGAATTTATGATTGTCTAATTTCTTTAAATGAATACTTTTTCATAAATAAAAAATGTCATGCTTCGAATTTGGCATCCAAAACGGCAGCGATAGAGAATGAATTCTCTATTTTCCTTTTATTTTTCTTATATTTTAAATAAAATATAAAAGGGAAACCAACTCTAAAGAATCCACTAGTGTAATAGTTTGGAGTAAATACTTGCCTAAAAAGGATCATGGATTCGAGTTCTAATTTAGTACATTATCATCCTCGCACTAGAAAATATCCTTTTAAAAGAAACATTAGTTGTAGATCATATATAGCATATGCCATATTGTTGGGAGGTTCAATTCTAAATAAAATTTTCTTAATGAAAATTCTAAACAAAAAATGTTGAAAAGCTTCTTTGGACACGTGGGTTTTTCTTTTCTTGGAGACCAATTGAGGAAGAAGACCACCAATATATGATATATATATATATATATATATATGTAGGTCAAGTTGTCTTAATTTGAATTGAACATGGTGGTGGCTAACAATTTAACATATGTATACGATAATTTCCGGTCTTGACTAGAGACCAGTTCTGAAGAACATGTCAACAACCACATTATGTTATAAGCTTCACACATAAACAAAACATCAAAAGCTACCAATTTGGTTTTTTTTATTTTTTTATTTTTTTTATAATAAAAAGTATTATGGGAGCAATTTAGATCCAAAAATGTGTAATTTTACTTCGTAATAAACTGGTTGAGAGATATTTAAGGGTGCCTAAATTGATGGTGACGCGTTTGTTATCCAATTGAATGTGCTCATGTGACTGTGTAGTGACATTTGCCTAATTATCTTCATTCATCGACGAATTGTCGTTTTTATCATTAATGGTACTCGCATTACATTCTAAATTTTAAAAAGAGGATATTTTCTTTTTCTTTTTTGTTTCCCACGCCAAACCACATATTTGGCAATACGTAGATAGCTACTGGGAAAACAAAGCCCTCTGGCCCCCCTCACTTAGGGGAGAGAGAGAGAGAGAGAGAGAGAGCATATATGACAAGATTAGATTAGTTGTACTTGCCACTTGTTTGTATCTTTTAAATAGAATTCACACCTTATATGTATGCCCCTCCATTTAATCTTATTTTCATTGCCGCCCCCTAATATGTGCCGCTGAAAATCAATAAAGGGTGGCAATACGTGACACGACATTAACATAGGACCAAAAATATGTACATGGTTACTTAACTTTGTCTTATAACTAGAGTTGTAATGTTGGCTTGGATTATTAGGAACAGCACGGATGAAGAATTTCTAAATTTTAATGTTGTACGCCATATCAGATAATCATGTCAAGAATTTGTTTTCCTTATAAAATTAATACATAAATAAAGTGCCAAATCTTGTTGGATCCTTTTTTCTTTAATAAAAGTTGGAATGTCGCTTTTTGCCAGCCTCCTAATCATATCCTAATATGCAATGATATATTCATTTGTTGCTTGGAAGCAAAAGACTCTTGATATATATATAGCGCACACACACAAATTGAGCCATATCACTGAAAGCTGTTGAACCAACACAAAATTGTTTTTAATTTCATTTTTCTGTCACCTTTCTGTTTCATTATTATTTTTTCATTCTTTATGTATGGCAGGCACGAATAGGGCATCCTGCAATGTACTTATAGCATGATTTCCACAGCATTCCTTGGTATTATTGCCTCAGGTGAGAAAATGGCAAGAACACCCTTGCCAGCATTAGGGGTGGGTTGAGAGACTGAAGAGATAGTTGGGCACATGTTGGGCTTGGTCCAAGCCCATCCAAAGTCAAATTAGCCTTGTATTCTACTTTCGAACTTCCCGAACCACTAGATTAAGAGCTAGTTAATGTTAAGAAGTGTTTGGTAAGATAAATCTAAGACAAAACAAAACCCATGAAATCAAAGCAAGCAAATATGATTGTCTCATTTTCTTTCGTGATCATATAATGTGATGGTGATTACATTGCGATAATATCGACCCTCTTGCAAGAGAGAGGGAAGAATGGTGTATTAGAGAAGACATATTTTAAGTTACATATCATTAAATTTACAGTTTAGCTGGATGAGAGAAAATCCAAAGTATAAAACCGCAGAGAGCCAAAACAAGGGGAATTAGGTGAATGACATTCTCTCCTGACGACTTTTGATGCAGCAGAGCAATTTCCTTTTTCGTAGCATGATCCGAATTTGCATTATACACAGGCAAGTTTTCAGAAGCTGCTGCAGTTTTTAGAGGTGGAGATGAGGCCAGGGACAGGGATGCTGGTGAGAAGTTCACCAAGAACTCTTCTGAGGCTCGAGAAGTGCTTGATGATCGATGCATTCTTCTGGGTTTCGGGGGTTATTGGGGAACAAGAAGCCAACAGAGAGTTGAAAACGATGGAGAAGAAGAAGAACAGATAAATGATGAGGACTATACAAAAGGGAAGGCCAAAGTGCTACGAGATCTTATAGTGGAGGAGAGGAAGAGGAAAACAATATTCTATATTAATGGAGCCTGGAAATCGAGGATAACAGCTTTGCTTGCAGAGCCAAAAATGCAGGGAGGTAGGTTCTGGCCAGTTATTTTAGCATATGGTTTGACAATTAAATATCAACTTATAATGTTCTGATTTCCTGAATGGTCATAGAATACATACAAAGAAGGAAGTCAACTTGGCCTAAAGAACAGCTTGCAGGGTAATTAAAGGCATTCACGTCACCATGTGCATGTAATGTGATGAAAAAAGTCAAATTACTTTATTTTAGTCTAAGAATAGAGATTTATACAGGCTGTCATGTGTAACACACTTGCTTATTTTTAGCAATTTTCAACTAATGGATAGGAACATTAGAACTATTCAGTTTGAGCGCTCATCTGCTTGCAGTTGAGTCAAAGTCATATCAAGTTAGGGTTCAATGATCTGTCATTATGACCAGAGCTGCAAAATCCGATACCAGTTTTCATGAACTATAGATACCATTCTGATGAAACTGTATATGCAACTGTTTGTAAATTGTGACCAACAGTTACCTAATAATAATAATTAGCTAAGAAGAGCAACCACATCATTTCTCAACCCCAGACATAATATTTTGTTTTGAACATTTCATCAGACATTTACCAAAATGTGTATAATACATTTTGCATCGTAAACAGAACCCAAAAAAAAATTAAAGGGAGGGAGGGAGGGGAGGTAAAAAGGGTTCAAATGCTCTCCAGTATGACACTGCAAAACTACTATAAGGAGTTAAAGGTCAACATAGAGGCCTATTCTGATGAAATTGACAAACTTAACTCCAAAATATCACAAAATTAAAACATAATGAACATTCGAGTATAGCAAAACAGCTGCAAAGCCTGTTGCAAAACTCCCACAAAACTTGCACATATGATTTGTTAGACTGATAACATCTGACAACCCAGTCTCACAACACAAGTATGCTGGTGGAAAGGATCCTTGTTCAGGTCATTCTATGAAATATCTATTTCTGAAAGGCGGAAGTAACTCGCCAGAATACTGTTTAATCTCACAGCCGAACTCAACTTCCATCAATCTATGATTCTCCTTTGATCGGTTCATTGAGAAAGAAGCATTCAGTTTATCCCCTTCACTGACTCGAATTGGAGGGTCCAAGAGGAAAACCTGTTCAATAAAACAGGGAGACAAACACGGAAGAAACTTAGATGCTGTAATCAAAGACTCACATTGATTTCTTGAGAATTATTAAAAGTAAAAGGCAAAAGATTTTTGGCAGAATAAACCTGTTGGCCCCAGTGTGTGCCATCATTTACACTAGGTGCAGTAGTCAACTCAATCTCCTCCTCAGCTGGATCTTCCTTTCTTCCCTGATACACCAGAACAGGATAAATTTCATGTTACATTGAGCGAGCAAATATTGAAGAGTCCTTTTACTCCAAAACAAAAAGAGATGTTTAATCAGCTTACTCGAAAATGAACATCAAACCATCCCCCGAACCCACAGAGCCTTGTGTTCTGAAGAGTAACTGTTGACAAAAAGTTCGATCTAATTTCGAGGATGTCACTGACAGAGGCAGTTAAACAATCAATCTCCTTGACTGTAGCAGCTGTCCCTATAACTTGATGTGGATGAAGGTTGTTCCACATTGATGTCTGCAAATTCCACAGCATGCATTTAAGATATTGGACACCAGAAGGAGCATGGATTAACCGAAAAATTGAAAAACATACATTGTACAAATATGATATTTTAACATTTCACAGGGGAAGGAGCAAAGGAAACAATTCAAGGGGGAGGGGCAGAGGGGATTCACAGGCTACATGGCTGCGACTTTCCGCACACAAAAAAAAAAAAATAAAAATAATAATAAGTAACCGTCCCACAATGTACAACATAAAATACAAGTCTATCCACTGACTGATGAATAGAAAAGATAAAAGTCAACACTCGTTAGAATCATAGAAATCACCTGAAGATAGTATTTCTTCTGCTCTTGAGAGAAAGGCTTTGTTAGAACACTCATATCAACGCCATAATAATTTTTTGTCTGATCTGTGAAACGGTACCAATCTTCCATAGATGATTCATAATCATTACTTTTTTGATCTCCCAATCCAGACCTAATAGGTGCCACCCACATAGAAGCATGGCTAGGATACCTGTGAAACCACAAATTAATTCCAAATTACAATATAAAATTATCAGTAAACCATTTGAAGATTGCCTAATTAACAGAATAAAAGTGCAGGCAGCAGGTTGAAGATAAAATTCCCTCTCTCCAACAGACAGTTTACTGATTATTCCCATCATAGTACAAGAAAACTCCGGGACTCAATCTGAGGACCAACAACAAAGTGATAAGGAATTGGTGAAAACACAATTTGAAGAGACAATTAAGCCCTGGTTTTAGAAAAGACAAAGAAGAGATGAAAGCTTGACTACATCTACAAGTACCCATATAATCTTGTCATATGGGGGCGGAATTCAAATGGTTTTAAAACAGATTCAAGTGTCGTGTTCAGAAAAATCGAGATGGTTTTCTGTACACCAGATATTCAAAAAACTTTTAAACTTTAGAAACAAGGAAACAATCATAAAAGTGTGTGTTTGCAACACTACCGATTTACTGCTTCTACATATAGCACCAAAAGTGTCAACATGTAAATGCCAGGGAACACTTACATGACTCCGGTTGGCTTCAACCACCGGTCACGTGCACATATTACCGAATCAAACATCGATTCACGCAGTAGGAAGTACCCCATCCACTCAGAAATAATCACATCCACTGTGCAACAATGCAGAATCACATAAGCATGACACTAATGGAAACAACATTTTAAAACCAAATTTGTCAAATTCGAACAATGCCAAACCTTTCTCTGGCAGAACAACATCCTCCATGGAGCCCTCAATCACTTCAACCACGTCTTGAAGCTTATTCGCTTTCACAACCGCTCGTGCATGTTCTGCCATGGAAGTCGCTTCAACAGCATAAACCTTCCTCGCTCCGGCTTGTGCCGACCAAATTGCGAGAATGCCACTCCCCGCTCCCACATCCAACACAGCCTTCTCCAAGAAATTAACCAAATTAATCCCAAATTTTCGATACTATAACAAAATTCTCATATTCCCAATAAGCATTAGTCTAAAGATAAGTAAAAGGTGAAGCTTTTTCAGTAAAGGTTATAACTTTTTGGTTATTGGAGCTATTTGAGTAACGAAACGAACAGAGGACAAAAGAGTATTATGACTTATGAGCTATACCTTGCCATTGAAGTGGTGCTTGTTCTTGAAAACGGCGTTGTAGTAAGCGTCCATGCGAACTCGATCGGAAAGCATCTCCTTCTGGTGGTAAAGAAAGGCGTAGGTGCAGAAGTAGTTGGCGAAGTCGACGCCTTTGTCCACCGCCACGCCGCCGTCTCCGCCATTGCTGGTGCCGCTTTGGTCTCCAACGACAGCGTTTGTGTAGCTCCCCATGTAGTTATGCAGGTATCAGTCAATGCTATCTTCTCCCAGTCTCAGAGACGAAAAACTGAAAGACACAGAGGAGGGAGGCTTTGGGTTTTAGGGCAACGTCGATTTAGCCATGGGCCCTGCCTCCTCTGCTCTATGCAAACTTGCAACTTGCACTTTCTTAATAAAATTTTTTTTGGTAACTTACTTTCTTAATAATAATAAACAACTATAAAGTATAAAGCTTTTTTATTTTTCTTTTGGTGGTCGGATAAATTCTCTCTTTTACTCAGAACCTACACTATTTACTTAGAAAACTTTAATTATTATTAAAAAATAAGACAACCCTAATAAATCAGAATAATTATGATAAAAAAACATAAGACAACCTCTTTCTTACACACAACTTTATCACGCTCAATCAATTGCCTACTCATTGTTCTTATGACAAAAACAGAAACAAGCAATAACATTTCTGTAAAATTATCTCTCCTTATTCTACCATGTACATTGAATTCTTTGCAATGGATGATGGATTTATATTCAAGTTTTTGACTCTTCAATAGACATTTTCTTCTAATAAAAACGCAACGTTGTAAAGGGTTTGATTCCATCCAACGTAATTGAGAAAAAACCAAAACACAACATTATGTTTGTGTGAGAGGTATGTTGTGATCACTCTCTCCCTCACTCAAACTCTCTGCTTTCCCTCCTCGGCCTTTCTTCTCCACAAGGTTATGTGTTTTTGTAATCACAAAACAAACAGGGACCCTACAAAATATTTTTATTATTATTATGACAAGCAAAAGATCACATGAATCCATATAGTTGGGAATTTTTGGCGCATTGCACATTGTTGCTTTGTATCGAAATCTCCCGTTAATACCGTGGTTAGGTGCATCAGCGGCATGGCCTGTTCTCCCTCGCACACTGTTTTTAGGTTTCTTCATCAGTATGAATTATTCATATGCAGGACCCGGTCTTGCAGTCTTGCTATTGTCAAACTAATCTTTGGTTTTGTCAAGCATTGGAATATAATATAATTCTGTCAGTGTTCAAATAAGCATATCATGGAAACTGTGTTTTGAGTACAATTAAGGCCAAAACACCACAATCATATATAAATGTTATCTCAACAGCAGTTGTCTTTAGTTAAAGGGATTGAATGAGTCAAGAATTTAAAGCCAACATTTGTTTTTGGTCAATGACTAGGTCAGATTGTACACCGTGTCTTCCTGATCTTACAAGTGACTCATAATGCATCAGCAAAAACTATTAACTACAAGAGAGAGACAAAAACAGAAAAAAGAAACCCCCAGATAAAGAAATAAGGGCAGTGTTTCATCAAGTCACATAATGAGTTTTTTCTTTTCTTTTCCTTTGTGAAACTGGACCGGTTTAGATGTGAGTGGCTATTTGATTTCAGAAGGGTTTTTTGTTGTTGTTGCTGTTCTGCAAGACGTTTCCAAATAATTGACCAGATAAAAGCCTTAAATAAAAAGATGTGTATGTCTGAAAAGGGAGGGGTGGAGGTTCCAATATATCACATTAAAAAGTATTAAGTCAGACAATAAATTAGAGGTGACTTCCAGGTTGTTTCTCTTTGGTCCATATAAAACCCATGGCCATGAGTACAGAACACTGTCCGATCTTTCAACTCTTGGCTGATCTGTGGATGGAAACGCTTCTAACCTCTGATTTAAATAATGTAAATTAGGAAATTAGACCATAAAAGTAGATTTGTTCAGCACAGAAAGAAAGTGGATCATGTTATAAGAGAGAACGCTTCCTTGCCTCTCTATCTCTCTCTTTATCTGAAAACAAGAATGAGGCTCTGATGGAGGACAAAAAAGCTAACATAGTAGCTGCATCATCAGTCATCACCCTCATCATCTTTATAATTGTTGCTCGCGTCTCTCTCAAACTTTCCCCTACTTTCTTTCTCATTTGTGGGGCAAGTATTGCTGTGATCCTTGCTGTGTTTGCATGGCTTATAATCAGACACCATTACAATTGCAGGCAAAAGCTGATGGAATCAAATTACGCATCAGAAGGCCGTGAGCTGCGAATAGAGTACAGTTTCCTTAGAAGAGTTGCTGGTGTTCCCACAAAGTTTAGGTACAAAGAGCTGGAGGATGCAACAGACCATTTTCAGGCATTGCTTGGCAAAGGGGCTTCTGCTTCTGTTTACAAAGGGATCCTTAGTGATGGCACTCCTGTGGCAGTCAAAAAGCTTGATGCTGAAGAGCGCCGCGAGAAGGAATTCAGATCAGAAGTTGCAGCAATTGCTAGCCTGCAACATGTCAATCTTGTGCGCCTTCTCGGTTATTGTTGTGTTCCTGCAGGACCTCGTTTCTTGGTCTATGATTTCATCCCAAATGGATCATTGGATTCTTGGATTTTCTCTAGAAAGCAAAGGCCTAACCGGCGTGGGGGTTGCTTGTCTTGGGATTTAAGGTGCAGGGTTGCTGTTCATGTTGCTAAGGCACTTTCTTATCTGCATCATGATTGCAGGTCTAGGATTTTGCACCTTGATGTTAAGCCAGAGAATATACTCTTGGATGAGAGTTACAGGGCAGTTGTGGCAGATTTTGGTCTGTCAAAGCTAATGGGAAAAGATGAGAGTAGAGTTATGATAACGATCCGAGGCACTAGAGGTTACTTAGCCCCTGAGTGGCTCTTGGAGCATGGAATTTCAGAGAAATCTGATGTCTATAGTTATGGAATGGTTCTGCTGGAGATGATCGGAGGCCGAAGAAACATCAGCTTCGTCGAAAAAGGGAATGACAGGTCTCAAAGGAAACGGCAGTATTTTCCCAAAACTGTGAGTGAGAAAATGAGAGAAGGAAAGCTTATGGAAGTTGTTGATCAAAGGCTAATAGAAAGTGGAGGTATTGATGAAAGGGAGGTTAAAAAACTGGTTCACATAGCTCTCTGGTGCATACAAGAGAGGGCTAGGCTTAGGCCTAGCATGTCTCATGTGGTTGATATGCTTGAAGGCCGTGTGACAGTGGAGGAGCCTCCTGACACACATATGGTGGTGGTTGATTTTTTGGCAACAGATGAAGAGCCAGCAAATGGTCATGAGAGGCCAAAGATTGCTGCTGCATTGGCAACAAAACGAGTAGATAGCAAAGATGCCTCCACATCAACATGCTCATATGCAAATGCAATGTCTTTGATATCCCCAAGATAGCTCCATCAACAGGATTGATTAGCTGCTTGTTGGTTTATGGCTATATTTTATATAAAAACTTAAAAGTAGGGTTCTTTTAAGCTTACCATTTTTGTTTTTACTTTCATGGTAAACTTTCTTCTGCTTGTATAATGTGTGCATTTTGTTCCTGTTATTCAGAAAAAGAATGAAGCGATTAGCCTTCATTGTATGATAACATTCATAGGGAAATTACTAAACAAAATGCATGAATTCTTATACTCATATCCTATTTTAGCTAACTGATCAATAATGATATTAGCTTCTTTATAAACATGCTTAATAGTCACGGAATTGAAATTCTCAAGAAGTCACCAAATAACTTATGCAAGAGACCATAAGCTCCATGGAATATTAGCCTGCCTAGTGATGATTTGTATAAGCATCTTATTATTAAAACCAAAAACAAATTAGTTGACCTTGACGTTGAACTGTTCTTTTCCAAAACCAAAAACAAAAGGAAATTTATGAAGGGTAAGTTTGGTAGGTGGCAAGATGAGATCGTGGGACCAGCTTAAGCAAAAAATCGCTGAAAATAGGGGACCAATGTCCAGCAAGCAACTTCTCATCTCAAGCGTCTTGTGTTTATATACTGAGACTGGAATTTTAATCCTCCACTCTTCGTAGGACACGTGGCACACATCTATGGTGCTATCAAGTGAACCCATACTTAAAAAGTTCCAAGGATTACAATCGAACGGATGAGAATACTCAGCTTTTAAAAGTACTTCGCATTGTAGATTTTAAACGCACTGGACATTCTCGTAGACGATTCGAATTCCGAAGGCTAACGACAGATAATAAAACGACAAATAAAATGATGCGAACTTAAAATTTGGAAGGGGAGAGAGAGAGAGAGAGAGAGAGAGAGGAAGAGAGACAGCGTCCACAGCTAATTGAGGTTTGTACTCTGTAGCAATGGTGTAAAACCCTAAAACCCACTCCTGATTTATGCTCAATTTTGTTTGATTACGTTCCAGTTGCTTAACATAATCTTAAAATTACCATCTTTATGCTTATATCCTTCAAGCTTTTGTATTGCTCTTGATAAAATTCAAGCTTTAGTTTTTCAGTACTTGCTACCCAACTACCCACCAATCATAAACGGTTATTGCCTCTTTCTTCTTTCTTAATTTGCAGTTCTCGATTTGTATGCTTGAATTGTGTTAAAGATTAGAAATTTCTTGTAATGATCTTCGTTTTTTCTCTTTTTGCTGGATTAATGGGGTGTTTGGGAACAATGTTAAACGCGTCGAGCACAACTGGGTATCTCCAATTGCCTAGTTATTGAAGCCCAAATGATTGACAAGAGTGTTCAAGCACCCTTTGGCTCATGTGTATCTGTTTGACATTTGGGAGACAAAACCCCTAACATGCAGAAGCCCTTATTTGCTATTGTTTGCATGCGCTGGTGTTAGTTTTCTTATTAGATTGCGGCTGTTCACTTCTTCAATTTTAGATGCCAGAGTTTAGGAAGTAGTTAGATATTGGCCACACTCGTTTTCAAATGCTCTTAAGTGGCTCCAACATGTTAACTAGGTGTACTTTATATGTTTTGACATCATGTGAAGTTTCAAAGCTCAAGAAGAGAGTGGTTTTATGTGGCAGCAAAGAAGAAAACTTTAACTGATATGGTTTTTGAATGATAAAGGATACAAAATGATTTTTAGCTCATATAGTTATTTTGCATCTCTGTACATGACACATTATAAATGGAGATATATTATATGCGAGAGGGTGATGACACCTATGTATCTGTCAGTTATCCCATGATGTAGATACTTAGAATGTGACCAATATGTTAGGTTTCATCTTGGATGGCACCTATGTGATCACTTGGGTAATCTAGACAGTTGGTCACCTACCTAGCCTTCCTGTGGTGCCAAAATCTCCTAGGGCCTATGAGTGTGGCACTGTGATGCTTCTAATGAGAGTTCCTAATAATAGTCTTCATATAATGATTAGATGAATATAAAATCTGATAATTTTTTTTTTTTTTTTTTTTTTTTTTTTTTGTTTCTTCACTGCAGGATCTGTGCTCTGTACGATTGCTGCAGTAGGAGTTTGGTCTGTGCTATCTTATTTGGGGGGCCTAATATGAGCTTCACCTCTTCATCTGTGGGTTCTGGTTAGTTTGTTTCCTTTTCTTCATGTTGATGTAGTTTGGTAAAAAGGTTTGGTTAATGGGTTCTCATACATAGGGGTGGCCATCAGGTTGTTATTTTGGTTTGGTAAAAGACTAATTGTTTTTCACCAATGATATGCTCTTTTAGTACATCAATTTTTCTTGGTCAGGATTTTGGGATATCAATTTTCTGGCCTTTCTAGAACTCTAACCTCTAACCTTCGTTTTGGGTTTGAGTTGTGTTAAAATGATCAACCCTGTTCATATTATAAGATTAAGGATGCTTGTTTGATTCTTCCCATTTCTTGATGAGGATTTTGGGCTTTCCTTTATACATATCAATTTTCCTGGGTTTTCAATATCGGTATTGAGCAGTTGATTAGTTGTTTTTTGTGTGGAGATATATGAGATTCTGTTGGTTATCGTATTTGCTATCCTGTCTCGTTAAACTTGATTGTGACCTGATTTCAGGTGGTAGAACTGTTAGAAGGGTATTTGAGTTTGGAAGAACCTATGTAGTCAGACCTAAAGGCAAACACCAGGCCACTGTAGTTTGGCTACATGGTCTTGGCGATAATGGTTCAAGGTGTTACTTTGTCCCCGTTGCTTATTTTACTGTTTTATTTAGAGGCCTGCACAATAATCCTGAAACTGAGGAAGTTTTTCATTTAAGTGACTATCTTTTATTTTAAGTTCCTGCTTCAAAGAGGAGTAAAATCTATTTTTGAATTGCTTCTAGAGAATCACGTGATATTTTGATACGAGATTTATCCATTTTTCTTTAATATGCATTTAAGCTTAAAAATTTTCTCTTTGGCAGCTGGTCCCAGCTCTTGGAGACCCTCCCTCTTCCAAATGTAAGAATATTTTACATTTGAACTACTGGAAGTTGAATTTTCTCATCATTGATTTAGTCATAATTTATGGTGAAAATAATGATTCAGATTAAATGGATTTGTCCAACCGCTCCTACTCAACCAATTAAAGTGTTTGGTGGCTTTCCTTCCACTGCTTGTAAGTTTTTTGTTTCTTTAATGTATCACCACATGAAGTATGTTCAGCAATATCTAATCATCTACGAGCAGCATCTTGTTTGAAGCAAAAACAATTGATCTAATTACCATCATCCTCATAGATAGTCGCAGAAAAAATAAAATATCATCTTGCTGATAGAATAATAGAATTGAAAGTCATCGCAAGTACCCTAATTACTTTTGTGATTTAAAACAGGGTTTGATGTTGGAGAACTTTCAGAAGATGCTCCAGATGATATAGAAGGTTTGGATGCTTCTGCAGCGCATGTTGCAAATTTGCTATCAACAGAGCCTGATGACAGTAGGTTCCTCTCTCTGGATTTTAGCGTTTGATGATTTCTCGAGGTGTTGATATACTCTGTTTGAAATGTGTCTCTGTGAATGTTTAGAGAAGCCTTTAAAGATTTCAATGCTCCTCTTGATCATTGAGATATCTTGAAAGGACAACTTCAAATCATTATACCCCTCCCCTCTTCTCTGCAGGTCCAAGATTCTTTTATGAGCTTGTAAATTAAGGGTAACTTTTGTCAAAGTAAAATCTTTGCTAGACGCTTCTTCTACAAAATTATGTTTATGGATGGTTCTAATACCCTATACTTTTGAACTTTGAAGCATATTTTTACCCATTGGTGAATTTTGATATAATTAAGTCATTAAGTCAAGCTTTCGCTGTTACAGTTAAACTTGGAGTTGGAGGGTTTAGTATGGGTGCAGCTACTGCCCTATACTCTGCTACTTGCTTTACTCTAAGAAAATACGGGAATGGTAATCCATACCCATGCAATCTGAGTGCAGTTGTCGGACTAAGTGGATGGCTTCCATGTTCCAAGTTTGATTTCTAACACTCTCCTCCCCATCTTAGCTGGACCCCATCTATGTTGTTTAGCAGCTTAATTAACTGCCCATAGTTACAAGTCCTATTCTTTTTCAGGACCTTGAGTAAGAAGTTAGAAGAAGTAGATGATGCTGCGAGGCGTGCTGCCTCCTTGCCGCTTCTGTTATGCCATGGAAAAGGTAATCATGATTACCTCTCATACATAGATATTGTTGGTTTTATTTGCCTTTCGCATATGTCATCATTGAAGAGGAGTTGCATCCATGGCTCTAGCATCCTCTTCTGGTGTAGGTTCTGCTGTACTAACTAAGCTGGTTTACCAGATTTTCTGTTGTAGATATTTACTGATATGATTTATTGCAGGTGATGATGTGGTTCCTTATAAGTTTGGTGAGAAATCTTCACAGGCTTTGAGTTCAACTGGCTATCAGAATGTGACTTTCAAAGCCTACAATGGGTATGTGATTTAGACATTATGTGTTAAAAGTTTTGCATATAAATTATTAGTTCAAGGAAGTAAAAGAATGTTTTGTTTGGGGATGCAGGCTTGGTCATTATACAGTTCCTGAAGAGATGGATGAAGTTTGTGCTTGGCTTTCGTCAAAATTGGGGCTTGAGGGGACTTCTTCATAGTATGACCCCATGAGAAATCTCAAGCAACATCAAGGAAGAGGAGGAAATTGAAGGGAATGTGTTAAGAAACAAGAATTTAAGTGGTTTTGGTCTCAGTATGACCTATTTTGTCCTTTATGACTTGTTATTGTTTGGCTGGTGGCACTAGATAAATCCATATTCGTATGTAGTAACGACATTCATTATTTGAATCAAGAACATGTCGTATGAAAGTAAAAGGTAGTTCTTTCACTGAAATTGACTACATCCATAGTTGCAATAAAGCTGGCTGGACATGAGCTGATACTTTGACCCTGTGAGCTTGACAAAAATTGTCTACCGTCCATACTCTTGACACAGAACCGGGGGTTATTGAAGACATTAAAGACATATTCATTTCCACTTGTAAAGATTGTATAAGAAATTAAAGACAGATTCATTTCCACTTGCTCCCGTTCAAAGCCTTCATGCACAAATCATAAGGTCATACACAAACTACTATCTACTTTCCGATTCCTCGGTTCAAAAAATAAAAAATAAAAAATAAAAGCAAAACCTTGGCCAAAAATATTAGAAAGATATAATTCAAAACTTAAATCGCATTGCTTGTAACACTTTGCATACCAACAATGAATACAGTTCAGGCAGCTCTGTTTCTGAAGCAGGTACTTCCCTACCAAGTAAACCATCCATAACAACAACGGGCCCAACAGCCCTTTTTCAAAAAGGCTGAATCCTTCCACTCTTTCCAAAAATTTTGGGTTTGTTTCACTTGTGAGCCTCTTTAACAAAAGTCACATCTCCACTTCCAGCCACCGGAGACATTGCAGCCAATGGTGACAGCAGGCGCTTCTCTTGATCATCATCCAATTCCTCTGATACACGAGGGGTGGTGATTGATAGAGTTTCGGTACCATCTTCTTCTGGTCACAACCACCCAGAAAAGCAACAGAACAGGTTTCAAATGTTAATGATATAACAACTATAGACAACACAGAGAATACAAACACTCTAATATCGAGTTGAAAATAGTCAAGAATGAGAATAATCACCAGACTCATGATGGTATTCAGGTATCTGTTTAACAGTAGTCACTTGAAGGCTTTCAGGAAGAAGACAACTGCACAAAGAACCTGAAATTACAACCAAAACATGGACTTACGACAGTGTTTCAAGCAATAAATCATGCCTGTGAGAAGTAAAGGCCATCTCAGTTATATTACACAGAATATGACATAAGATGAAGACACAAAGCAAAGCATCGCAATCCAAACCCTCATGCATGGAGTCACACTGAAGTAAAAGCCATCACGAAGGATGGAGTTTTGAAAGGCATTCCTATAGTCCTACATGGACAAACATAAAGCAACTTGTTCCTGTGTAAGTAAAGTAATCATAGTCGTCTCAAAGATAATATCTTACTGACTTAATCAAGTCAAATATGATGCAAACAGACATGAATAATCTTATTTCCAGCAAACACATAATTGCTTTCAGATTATATTCATGGACCTCAACACTTGAAACCCTCAGTAGAAGGCTGCAACAGTGAAGTAAATAAAGCTCAAACACTAATGAAATAAAGGAGTACTACAATAGTCAGTAGAAAATATTCTCTCTACCTAGCCGAGCGAGCCGATTCACCCATCCGGGAATCCGTTTTTGTGTCAACCTACATGCCATGTCATCCGTAAAATGGTTGCAATTCTTGGAGATGAGGTGATAGGTATCCCCATGATACTCTGAAGCAACATTCTCAATAAATGTCCGAAATTCAGAGGGATGCATATTTATGCGGCCAAGTGAAACAGAACACCGGTAAATAAAACCTGGGCAGCTCCTTGGTTCCACTTCAAAAACTCCACTGACTGGGAAGTCATGGGCTCCGAAACCGTACTCTTTGCCATGGACTGTTACATACAAGAGAAAGATGATGTTGTTAAACAGATTCTTCTCCTTTTTTAATAAAGGAAATAAAGGAGAATTAAAAGAAGTCAGTGATCAGTCAGAGCAATTTTCAGAACAGAGGATTTCAGTTTGTTTTGTAAGAACTACTCTCAAAAAAGCTTATAATAACATTATATCACGAGAAATTGTTATTTCTTCAAAGTCAGCAACTTTTAGTTAATCAACCAGAAAATCATCTCCCACATCGAGAGCTCTCAATACAGAGATACACACATATCCAGTACTTTCCAATTGGCAGATCTTTTCCTTCATAACCAAACGTAAACAAATAAAAAAAAGCATATGGCAAATTTAATGCACTTTGTAAAGCTATCAGCATAACTGCAAACAAAATGGTATAGAACGACATGAGTCTAGACTAGATCCCAATATCATTTTCAATTCTTGCTGCTACATATCTAACTACTATATGACGTAGTACAATAATAACTTAGCATTAGATGCAAGCACATTCATACCTTTTCAATAACTAAATTCTTAATTCATTTTTGGATCCGAAATCAGTGAAACATAACCAGATGTAGACCTACCAGCTTTAAACACCATATACATAAACAAAAACGTAAACTTCAAAACTGAAAACAGGAAACAAGCAAGCCCACAAATCCCACATCCTTCGTATCCATTTAAGCTTGAAAGTGCCAATCTGTAGAATAAATATATACAATCCAATCCAACATATACGGAATGCCCAGAAAAGGAAAGAAACGAATCGACAAAGCAACTAAAAAGAAAAAAGAAAGCACAGCATATAACACAATGCAACGGTACCCAGATCGCCTGAACACATAGCAGTAGGAAAGAAAGAATAAAAAAGGAAAGAATTCTCACCTTCAATACCAGAGTGAAAGATTCCGAGGCCGAACCAAACGGTGTAATTGTTGAGAGGGGTGAGGTCGTAGACGTTCAACACCACCTGGGTCTCATGGCTTTTGTTCCCATCAATCCCGCCAAGTTGAGAGACCGAGTTGGAGGTGCTCTCGTCCCCCATTTTACCCCAATTCTTTTCGAAATTCCAAAACAACCCCAAGATTTCAACTTTGCTTTTATTCCCTTCTCAGTCCATCGGAGAAGAGAGAAAGAGAGAGGGAGAGAGGGAATAACAAGAGCCTTCAGTTCGGAGATCCGTTTCCGGCCAGAGCGGAAAAAGATGAAAGCTTTGAGAAATTGAGACTTTGGAGGAATAAATTAAAAGAAAAAAAGAAAAAAGAAAATCAAAAGTGGCAAGACATGGGTCGAGTTTCTTTCTTTCTTTTATTTTCTTCTTTTCTTTTTTAAATTTGGACCAGGTTGTTTTTTGAAAACTCTTGGCTGTCATTGACAGATTGTGAATTTCGGGCGGAGGTCTGAGATTTTGGAACCCTTCTCGTGAGAAATTCCTTTGCTCAAGATTAGTCACGTGTGAGTAAGGAGTCGCACTTTGGTCTTTGACCGTAACACGACATTTTGTTACAATAAGAGCGGGGAAAATGGAAAAACCGGCGCCGGTTCAGCTATATTGAGTTTATTATATTGTCAACTTCGAAGTTCCAATTGGTTGCTTTGTTTGTTTATTTAGGCTATATTTATTTGAGTTAGGAAATAATGTTGTGCAACAAAGCGATGAAGCGGGTATATTTATATTTCTTCAATTCCTGGCTAGGCAATAATGCTCTGCAAAAGGCTGACAGACTTGGCAAAAGCCCTTCTAATCGAACTTGTAAGTTTATAAACGTGGAAATAACGCAAATTGACGAATTCAATGTGTTCATCAACACAAAGAGGTAAATTGGGGAAGACCGTGAAATAAATATATATAAACTGGTTTGAAGTTTCTTTTCAGGACTTCACTCTCAGCCTGACATTTATCAGCATTACCATACCAAGCGACACTGCTCCACAACTCATTAGAACAGGCTCCAAGGTAGAAGGAAACGAGCTTCCATTTCATTCGCTAAATCACATACATTTCTTTAAATCAGAATTTCGACAATCAGTGCGCCACTGACAGCTCCTGAATACAGAATTGGAGCAAACTTACTCTTCATACATATGCAATCATGGCTGGTTGTCTGGTGTTGTCCGTCGCCGAAGGCGCGCGCTGCGCCTCCTAGCACCTGTGCTGCCATCTGAAGAATCATTATCCTCTTCTCTAGAAGCAGATGCAGCTTCGCCATCATAGCTCTCCCCCCAAAGTGTGGTAGCCCTCCCTCTCATTCTAACTTGTGCTCTGGTTCTTCTGGGACCAGACCAAGTGCTCCTTGAACTGGCCCCAGGTGGAATTACTCGAACTAGAAAGACTACAGTTAACCAACCCCCATCATCAACTGGCAAACTGCTATCATCACCCCTATCCTCTCCAATTGAAGATTGGAGTGTGCTGAGCAGGTCACCAAAATCCCTCTGTCGTTCCAAACTCCTCCAGGTACGCTGTCGCTCTGGGTCTGCCTCTGATGGGCGTGCTTGTGGGTGCTCCAGCCTAGCATGCTTCCTAAGATCTGCATAGGTTCCAATAAAACTACACGTCTCGCAAGAACAATTTCTTGATTTTGCATTCATGAAACAACGAGCGGGCTCCACAATTATCCAATCTTTTATCTCCCCGCGGCAGAGGGGGCACAAAAGCTTTGGCTGTGCCTCATGCTCACAGGCTATGGGATTCATGGTGGGGGGCTCTTCCTCAATTCTACCATTTTGCACATGAGTAATTGTTGATTCAAGAGTTTCAGCTGGAGATGACTGAGTATCTAAAATCTGATTTTCTCCTTCTGGTGGCACAGTTGGTGAGGTTTCTGCTGAAAATGACTTGCAGTACTGGTCTAGACAGTTTGAATGGCGGTAGCTTGTGTCACACATGTAAGGGCGGCACCCCTTCTCATAGGATGAACATATGAGTAAAACTGCATTGTGTGGATGCTCCAAGCAAACAGGGCACCTGGTGTCTTCCCATTCTTTCACATTTTCCTCAGTTTCTGAAGGAATTTTGGGTGGCGGCCGCCTTGTATGACTGGAGCTGCATGGATAAGGAGATGCTCTATACCTATCACGAGACACAGATCGGCCCCTTCTATCCTTGGGCATTTTGTGCTCTCAAAGATACTTCACCCTCTCTCCAAGTGATAGTAGCAAAATTATTGAAACTAAAAAAAGACCAAATTAACATTAGTATTAGAACAACATTCTGATTTACAGATTAAAGATAATGTTGAGCTTGAGTGAATACCACAACAATAACAAAGATTAAAAAAATATCAAGCACAAATTCAACAAGCAAATAAATTCTCAAGTCCATCCACGAACTTAAGCCATCATCACCATGATTAAAGGCATATGAACAAACAAGTTTCCAAAATCGCAGGGGTCACGAAAGAATAACACATTGGGAATATCCTATTAAACAATGAGTTGGTAAATATTACTATGAGTATAGAAACTGTAATGTCATGCACAAGCCTCAAGAATACCTGTAAACAAAGATTCTAAACACTGCCATTAAAGAAATTAACTATATTTTAAAAACAATTTAAAAACTCATAACACAAAGATAACCACTAAATCAATATACTTCTCCTACTTTGACAACTAGAAATCACACTTAAAATTGGGATGCACCTCCCGCAATCGCATAACTACAAAACTGGCCATTTTTTTCATTTATGGAATCAACATAAGTAATTTCCAGCTCTTCTTTTTGTTTCCTGAACCTCAAGTGTAGTATAATTGGATAAAAACAAGGATTGAAACTCTGTATGTTGATTACAGATTGAAAACCTCAGGTGTGATATTGAACAACTCATAGTTACGGTCCAACCACGGATGGGTATATCTCGATACCAATCAAAACAACCCAACGCACCATTAAAAAAAAACAATCAGCCCAAACATGAATAATGAAGCAACAAAACACCCTTACTTTCTCGTCATTGAAAGTCATCATATAAAGCAAAAACAATGCCAATTTCACAGCTTCTAAAAAACAAATAGAAAAGCCTAAAAGTTCAATTTCCACGAATATTGAGCTAACACACCAGCTCGACTCCAAATTCCAGGGATTAAAACACCGTTTCCCAAACCTATCCACCTCCAAAGGTCCCAATAATAATAATAATAAAAAAATTATTTTAAAAAATACCTTAACGAGAATAAACACGGAGCACAGAAACCCAGCCGAGAAAACATGTACCGAGATAAGCACCCCAAAGCGTTCAGATCCAGCTAAAATCGGACCTGAAATTAGGTCAGGATTAGAAAAATTACCAGATTGAAATTGGGAAAAACAAAACCCCAACTTGAAATACCGATTCAATTGGATTTGACTCGGCAGAGACTCTAGAAGCCTTATCAAGTAGCTGATTGCTCAGAGCCCTTAGAGAGAGAGGGACAGAGATAGCGCTGAAGAAGCAGCCTTTCTAGGGTAACTGATTCAGCAGCAGCTACCGCGAGGGAGAAAAGAAATGCGAGTGGGAACCGAGAGGGCGTATATATACTCTAATTCTAATATAATACATCATTTTCGTATTGTATGTATGTATTTGTATATACAAGACATGGTGGTGTGTTATTGGGTGTGAGCTGACGTGGACCACTCGCGTTCGCTCATCTCCTCGACGTGGCGTTTTTATTTTTATTTTTTATAAATTGATTGTTTTTTATTGCTCTTCAAAAGTTTGAATGATTATTGAACTCGGCGGTGATGATACGCTCTTATCAAGTATTGTAATTAAAGGCCATTATTTTAAGAAATTGGGCTTGTGGGGTTAACAAATGAGCTCGTCATAAAATTGAGATCATGAACACGGCATCACGCAATCGAAATTCAACTCTTTATTTTAATTCCGATTACAGATAAGTAAATATGTCATAGAATGACTGTATTATAGTTTAAGCAGTTAAAAGCATTCGCCTATGCATACATAGTTTTGTGTCCAATTTCACCTTCTATAAAGAATAATATAATGTTGATTCTTGGTGTACAACTATTTCCATTAACTTGAATTTAGTGGTCCTTTTAAATTAAATTATTTGATATTGGTTGGGATATTGGGACTTATGGATACGTTTTGAAGTTTTTTTTTTTTTTTTTTTTTTTTTTTTTGTTTGTTTTGAAGAATAACAGAGCTTTGATGCAACGAAAACTTTTGAAATTTCCTTGAAAACAAACTATAATCTTTAAAATTTGCAAAGTTATAAGATGTAATGTAATTGAGAAATTAGGGTTAGTGTTCATACCTTCTTTTAGTGTTTTCGAAGCCAATCTTGGTCCTCTTCAACTTGATCTTTAATCCCTTGAATTAATGAATCACCATTATATCTCATAGATATTCGTAAGAGGGGTTATGATAGTGTGATCACTCTTAAGAACTTACAAAGATGAAAATATAAAATAAAATTAAAAAGCCCTCCTCTATGTATAGAGTAAAGATCCTTTTTCTTTTTCATGAAGAAAATAATTCAACCAATAATACTATGACGAGTGTATAATAAGAAACTATTCAAATAATCTAATTTCGTGATGTGGTAAGCCTTTTTCTTATTGTTTAAGGCTATTATTTAAGGATAGAATTGATGCTTATGATTAATAGGTTCAGTGTCGTTCAATTTTCACTTTGTTAAACAAGGTTTTAGAGTAAAATAATAAGAGAAATTGGAATATAAGTGATAGTCTAAACTATAAAGGAAATGGAAGTTTCTCACACACACATATTATCAAGGTGTCGTGAAGGTTCGAACCTAAAACTATTGGTCAGTAAGTCAATGTCATTTGCCACAGGGCTAGACCCAATTGACTAGAGTAAAATCTTATTGAGAATTTGTTGTATTGTTGAAGTGAAGAATAAAGATATAATTGAATGATAAATTAATAATTATAAGGAAACTTATGATCTTTGATTCTTTCCATTTAAGCCACTTTAAAAAGTTCCTAATAAGAAAAAATATGCTTCCGATAGACCTCAGTTGTGAAATTATAAATGCAAGAATTGGGAGAGAACGAATCCAACTTCCTCTTTTCTTTTCTTTTAAATGAAAATCGTAGAGTGCAAGAATAAATGTTTTTACCCACTAGAGTCACAAGGCCCTGCAATGCAACACTCTTAGCACTTGACAGAATAATAATGATTATAGAAGGATTGACATATGAAAGCTCATTGATGGTTGCATGCATTAGGTAGGTAGGAAAACTGACAGGCCAGCGAGGTTTTGTGCAATTTTGAGGCGTTTTTAAGGGGAGGGGCACAAGCACAGACAGCAAGAAAAACTAAGACATGTACATGGACCTTCCAATGCACATGCAGGACCCCAGTGGAACCTGTACTTGATAATTCAATGTCCAATAAGTATCCTTTTCAAATCCTTTGGTTTAGATTCATTGCAACATCCCTCTCCACCATATAGAAATCACATTTTGCCATCCCAATTCACATCTTAAGTGGGAAAACGAAAAAAATTTAGGTATATGTTCTATACAGTATCTATATTCTTTGCAACGGTGCAAGGCCATGACCATTGCAAGCCATAACAATCAAGGTCATGCCCTGTTCTTTAGAGACTAGACAAACTTTCAGGACCATCCAACTACTGAAGAACTTTCTTTAACGAACTTCAGCCTCTGCCTACTATATGCTACCTATTAGCCTATTACATACCGGTGATTGCAAAAATGACATCCAGCTTGGCTAACCCTACTGCAAGATATTCTTTAGGTTGCACAAGACAGTGGACGGCAAAACTTAACCTTGTCTCAGCATGCGCACTTCCTGGTAGTCCCAACGTATTTACAGGACATATTTCATAGTTCAGCGTCTAAGGTCAGCTTCAATATTTTCATTTGATGTTCATGGCAGCTGACATGGCACGTAGCTCCTTTGCAATTTCTGAGAAGGGTGGCCGAGAGTCAGGATCAGATGACCAGCACCTCTCCATCAATGATCTCCACATTGGATCACACCAGCTTGGGATTTCAGGTCGGAGACTGCCTTTGATTATACCGGCTGAAAACATCACAAGAAAATGTTGTAAACAAACTTTGATAATCCATAAACAAGAAAACAAGCTAGTAGTAGAACTTCTATTCTTTCTTTTCTTTTTGGTAAGATTAACTTAAAGCTTACCTATTAGTTCCTTTGAGCGCAAGTTTGCATAGGGTTCCTCCCCAGTCAAGAGTTCCCACATCACAATTCCAAATGAGTACACATCAACCTACATATAAAGTATCAAAGAAATCATCGAATATCCGTAATGTGATTGACAAAAAAAATTAAAACATAAACATAATTGAGCATTTGAAAAACGACCATCCTTTACCTTCTCTGTCACCAAATTGTTCTTGCTGTTCAAAAGTTCTGGAGCCATCCATGGTATGGTACCTCGCACTCCACCAGAAACAAGTGTCCTCTGCTTGATTTTTGATAAACCCAGATCACCAATCTGAATACATTAAGTTGATATTTCAAATTTACAAGGGGAAAGAAAACAGAAATATATGGAGGCAATAGTATTCTTCCTAATCGTCATGGATCAATCATCAATAATAAGAATAAAGGTAGAAGAAATTCTAATAAAAACTACCAAAAACGCTTCCCAGGCTGCATACCTTACACACTGGGCGCTGAGGGTCCCTCATATTCACGAGAAAGTTATGTGATTTCAAATCAAAATGGACAATGCTCTTCTCATGAAGATATTCCATACCAAAAGCTGCATCCATTGCTATAATCAGCCTCTTTCGACGATCAATAGTTCTGTGAATCAGAAATGCAACATGAGAAAATGATTCTACTGCATTGCTACCTATTCATTGCATGGTCAATGCGAATGTATGAGGAAAAGGGAGAGGGGAATATGCACCACAATTTTAGAATTGTAGTTGTATAAGAAGAGAAACTAGTAATCAGTGCCACATTTGAATGACAGCATACAGTTCATGATCTTTAGATTAGGATGCAAGGCTTTCAATCACAACTAGAGGGAATTTGTTCTAGATTATCTCCAGGCCAATATTAAAGATTGAGAAACCACAGTCATATTACTCCAATGATCAAATCCTTGGATTGCTTTACCAATACAAATACATTTATGCTAGATTTTGGCTCCCAAAAAAGAAAAAGAAGATGAAAGAACCTTATATTATGCTATAAAACTATCTTACCGATCTTTTTTTTGCAAAACTTGTTTTAAAGAGCCATTCACCATGTACTCTGTCACTGTTGCCAAATTTATCACTGGTCCATCTGACACTACACCATAGAATGCCACAATATTTGGGTGGTGAAGCTGGCCTAGTATGTGAGCTTCCTTCCAAAAGTCAGCAAGCTGCAGAAAGTAAACAGAAAGAGTTGACACATGAGATAGCATGCAGGTATATGCATTAACTATAGTATTGAGATAAATAATGTATCAGATGTTTTCCTCTCCTCACTTTCTTTCTTTCTACTCCATGCAATGCAAGCACAAAAACAAGATAACTTTTTTATTCGTGAAAGGGAAGAACAGAAAAAATAAATAAATTATTATAATGGGACTGTCGTGGGAATGAAATAATTACCAATCGATCCTCCTTCACTGTGCCTCCAGTAAAGCAACTGGGCTTAATCTTTTTTATAGCAACATCAGACCCCTTCCACTTTCCATAGTAAACAGTTCCGTATGTTCCCGAACCAAGTTCTTTTACGAACTCAAGGTCAGAATTTTTTATAGTCTGCAAAATAGTGCAAACAAACGTTCAATCTATACATTCCATTCACCCTCCATATGCTTATAAAGCAGAAATTGTGCATGTTCAAAAGTTACCTGCAGCTCTCGAGTGGCCAGATGAGTATAAAACGCAGCCGGATCACTGGAGTTTCCACCAATTACTTTAAAGCATTCAAGACTTTCTCCATTGTTGGCCTAAGAAATCAGAATCATAAGTCAAAGCTGAGGAAATTTTACCACTAATAGTCAAATAGTAAAGCTAATAAAAAACTAAAACAGATGTTTCTTTTTCTTTTCTGATTTCTTATATGTTGGAGGTAAATGAGATAAAATGTTTCCAAGTAACTACCTTTCCATCAATTCTTATACTAGATGGAGGATCCTGCTGAACCTCCTCATCTTGCACGCTATCTTTCTCTTTCTTAGCAGAATTCTGGGAGAGAAGATTAGATGCAACTCCATTTGATCCATCAACTAGATGGCCTGAGGTAACTTGTCCTTCATCCATGAGATCTATAGGCTTTGATTGAGGTTTTAGCAAGACATCAGAAGACACAACACTGCTAGCATGAGAAGAGAGCTGAGGAGCAACTGCGTCTTTGGATGATGACAGCGAAAGGTTGTGCAAAGAAATACTCACTGAAGATGTAACTCTGCTATATGAACCATTAGTGCCGTTTTCACAATTGATTACAGAGTTGATGACTGCTTCTCCATTAGGCAACTTGCTATCACCTTCCAATCTGATTCCAATGCCACATCCCACTTCACTGGGTAAGCCAGAGGTGTCGGCAACCTTCTGAGAGTCCATCAGGCGCACCTCCTTTTCAAGGTCACAATTGACAGGCACTGCATCAAAATTTTCATATGAAGTCCGATATGGACCTTCACAGTTCCCAAAGTCAGAACCAGTTAAGAGATCTTCCAGAATGTCCATTCTCCTCACAGATGGGCATGAACTCTCAGTGGCATCAGGATTCAAGAGCGATTGATCAACCACACCAGTAAATGGACCATAACAACCTAAAAGGGATGCCTCAGGACTTAGAGTCCTATGCTGTGAAATTGCAGGGCCACCCCATTTACTCGGTTTCTCATTACCACGTAGGACATCCATCAAGTAACTGTCTTTCACTGAATTAGAATCCATCATCCTCACCCTTTCTTCCATTGTTTGATCAGAAAAACCATAACAATGCTTCCATGAATTTAGATTGTGAGCTCTCATAGGCTGCCCCTGCTTTGCAATGTTCGAATTTGGCCTGAGCCCGGGGTAGCATTTCCGTACTGAAATCCCCTGCTTTGTTCTGTTGTTCCCCATTTCAACTATGTTGTTCCGATGATGATTCCGAACATGGTATTGATAACACCGCTGAATTCTAGAATCATTCACACCGAATCTATGGTTACGGATGCTGCTATTAAAGCCACCACACACCTTATCTCCAGCATAAGAAGACTTGACAGGATACACAGTTCCAGCCAAAGCATCACCACTATAATGACAACTCAATTGATCCTTCACTGAATAACAATTGGCTTCCCAAGGCTTAACGTTCTCTCTGTTCAGATAGCTAATCCCAGCCACTCCAGAGTTTCCCAAATCTTTCTTAGCATTACAACAATTGCAAGTTGGTTTCATACCCGAAGAACAATTCATTGGTTTCGAACACTGTGTTGCAGGGACTGACTGACTATACATCCCAACCCCATTACAGAAAACCTGACCCGACCTCGCCGAACAACACTGCCCAGAACTATCTGTTTCAACATGCAAATTCCCATATCTGGGATTCAATAGACTGGACCGAGACACTGAAAACTGCACTTGATTATTACCCCAGTTACTCCCTACTCTGTTAGCCAACAAGTCTCTGTTGATCGAGACTTGCTGTTCAGGGCCTAAATCTATAGGTGGACGTTCATATGAAGCACACTTTTGGCTCTCGCCAAAGCAACCCATTTCCATATCACTCTCATTAACACCAAAACCACGGCCTAAAGCCGATTGCTTTGCTAGCAATTGCTGTTTCAACACCATCTTCCTCAGCGACTCATCACCATACCGTACAGCCCCTGGGTTTTTAACCGCCACCTTATCATCTATCGGAGCCCCGCCCAAATGATGGGTCTCAATATTTGGGCTCTCGGACTCAAACCCATCACTGAATTTGACTCCTTTCACGCAATTAACTTGAACATTAAGATTATCGTTGCCATTGCTACAAACAAAGACCCAGAGCCTCGCGGACTTACCGTCGAGCTCGAGCTTGTCGTACTCGTCGATCATGCACCGAACGTCGTCGTCGGAGACGATGAGGACGAGAGGGGAGGTTTCGGAGTCGGAGCACGAACCGGGAAGCTGGTATTTGAGGGTAAACGAGGGATTAATATTGGGGCAAAGATCCAAAATCTTTGATCGGAGCTTCGAGAACCCGATGTTTCGGTCAACGGATACAATTCTGGCTTCGCCACCGACGTACCGGAGCTTCCCGGAAGGTGGTCTAGGCTGGAAGGCGCCATTGAAGCTGCACACCAGCTTGAGCTTCTTGGGCTGAGAAGTGGGCCTTTTGCGACGAGAGAGAGGTGGCTCTTTCATGGATGTCATAGACATAGAGAGAGCGAGTGATTCTTGGGGTGTGTTGAGAAACAGAGTGTGAGAGTTTATACTTGTATTGTATGGGAGTGTGCCAGGGTTCAAATCCTTACCCTGAGAAATGGTTGAAATTTCCAGGTTGCCACTCTTTTTCATGTCAGTTTAGTAGATTTGTTGCGTTTGTGGTTTTACAACTTGAGTTGAGGTTGCTTTATATTATGATAATTCCAAATCTGATTTGGACAAGACTTAATTATAGGTTTTTTTATTACGTTCTTCTTTTTCTGTCAAATGAACCTAAATACATTTTTTTCTTTTGATTTTGCCTTTTGAAAGTCCAATATTTGTGTGGGAATCTTGTGACTTACTCTCCCTTTCTTTTTGTTCTTTTTGCCTTTTTGACTAATTTAAATGGTTAAATAAGAGGATAAAAATCAATTAAATACAGAGTTTATAAGAAGATAAGGAAGCACCCTTTTTTTTTTCTTTTTTCTTTTTTTTAAGGTTGAAGTCCACTTATTATTATGATTCTTATGGAACAATAACTTCCAATCATAAGGGAATTATACTGCATATCTGATTTTGTAGTCCCCAAATCTAATCACAATAGATGTGGGATTTATTCTCAGCCCTCAAATGGTGGATTCTTTTGGTTTTTTCTTTTCTACTCTCATGATTTTTTAGAGGCATCCCACAAAACCTTTGCAAACAAAATTACTTTCCAAGCGTTAATTTTTCAATCATCATCTCATACTAATCATTGATAGCATTCTCTATAGTTATCGCACAATGCATTTTTTTTCTTTCTATAATTGAGATTAATTAATTTTGTTACTATCGGACCACTCTCTTTTATTTATACAAAGAAAGTAAAGAATGACCAAGTATAATAATTACAGCAAAACTATTGATCCTCGAATCGGGGCGTTTGACAAAACAAACGAATAAACCTAGATGCTCTCAAATTGAATATGACTATGAACGAGGAGGTGGTTATAGTTTACTAGTGGATTAACCATTATTTTTAATTGACAAAGGGGCATTTTAGAAAATAAGAAGGCATGCAAGGGTATTAATTTACAAGCGCAATGAAAATGTTCACTTTCCCATTGCATGGTGCCATGCCATTGGCCTGATGGCTGGCGGTTACATTCTAACGAGATAACCTCCCTTTTTTTTGTCTTTTAGTCCAATTAGGAAACCTTCAGTCAAAGCAGCATTTGACGCATATCATTCAATTTAACAAATCCTGTGCTATATTGCGCCGAGCGTACACGTTTGCAAACTACTGGAACATCAATCCTTTCAAGGAAAAAGGAAGTTCGTACAAAACCAAAAACTCTGATAATGGAATAAAAATTACCTTTAAAATTCTAAACCAACCAAATTTTAAGGTTTTTTAGGTTTTAGACATAAAAAAAATTTCACTTTTGAAAAAAGCTTAAGATAAAAAAACCACTCAACTTTCAAATCAAAGACATGCAAATGTATTGGATTCCTTAGGAAATCTAAAAATAAATAAGGGCATTTTTGTTCATTTTTGCTTTTTTTAAAATTTTTCTCCCTCCTTTTATTTTTTCCAAAATGTCCCTAAATTTTATTCTTAAAAAAAAAGGGGGAAGCGAGGGGCATAAAATAATGCGAAAGGGCGGCGTAAGTTAGCATCCGAGCTTAGAGGCTTTTAATTATTACTATGTCTATGTGCATACGTGGGCCACTGTATTTCCTTCCCACCTGAAAGCCACAAAAGCTGCTGAACCTCCTCCTCCTTTTTTGCCATTTCCGGTTTTTGATGTTAGGTGACACGCGGCCCGGTGTCATCACACCACGACCCCCAATCATAACATTATTTGGGGTGGGGGGAGGGGCGGCTTTAGACGGGGCCCGAAATCTGATCAACACGTAGGTTTTGTTTCTAGTGACGTGGATATGTGAAAGGAGTGATGACTCATGGAGGTGCACTGATGACAAATCGTGATGTGATGTCCATTACTCTTTGCGTACACGAACTAAATATTAAAATATTAAAATTTTGGGCTGTGGTTTAGAATTGGATAGTTGTGGGCTTGAGTTACATAGGAAAAGCTAACAAAATGAAAGTTTGGGCCGAGCCACAGTCTGGCCCAGCTCTTACTATAATCCCACCGTCAGCTCACAATTAACGAGTGACAACGGCAATCAACGGCTCTTAGTCACTCACGATCATAAATATAACTACGCACTCGCATAATTCCTGCAAATTACAATCGTATACAAGTTTCAACTTTCAAGGATTATATCCTCAACAAGTTTCATTTCATATACACACAACAATCTAGATTTCTCAAGTGCTCTCTGCTTACTCTTTTCTCTTTTCTTGTAAAAGCCTATTAGGTCAAATCTCAACCAGTTTTTGATAGACGTAGTGACTGCATGTGTAAGGGGTTATCCTGTTGATTTATAATCTCAAAAGGCTAAGACAAATTAATAATTGATACAACTATAAGGTTTAGTGGATGGATGATACGAGACATACTACACGATTATGATATCAAAAACTAGAGGATTAAAAGTACATTCTGCCTCTTTCACAACTCAATTGTATCCCTTCCCCACACAATTCAGACAGCGCTGTATCCTGCAAAATCCCATGGAAAAAAACTTCAAAACACCACTCAAGCATTTTAATCTTCTCAATAAGAAGGGAAAAATGTAAGCTTAAATCTGGCTGAAGACACTAACCCAAAAATTCATTGCCAAATTGTAGCAACATGAGGAGGAGAAAGAAAGAATAAAAGCAAGCAGTATCAGTGTTCACTAACCCATTTCCATCGCAGGTTGGGCAAAGACAGGGGTTGATGGCAATTGGGTCATACAGAGGCGACCATTCAATGGTATTATTCCCTTTGCATAGCTTGCATATGTAAAACCCTTTCCCTCTACAAACCCCACAAGGCAGCGCAATCTTTCTCTGCCCAAAACCCACCAAAAAAAAGAATGATAAGAGAGCAATTTAGCAAAAAAAAGGAGATGAAAGTTGGAAAGGTAAAGATGCCAAGGTGGGTTTTGGGTCTTCTTACCCTTTTGGATTCGGTGGCCAACCGAAGCGCTCCAATAGTGGCAGTGGAAGCCAAATTCAGTGTGAAAAATCCGCCGACGAGTACGGCAGCAACCGTGCACACGGTGCGTAGTGGCTTTGGAATCATTTTTACTGGGTTGGAGTTTCGCAGGGTGGATTTCTCAAACAGTTGGAGAGCATGGACTCAATTCCATGAAGCTAAGGCTAAATTCCCAGGTGGACCCTTGTGCTCATGAAGCGGGCCGTAGAAGAAAACAGAGGCCCGTTTGGTTTGCTATCCGATGCTTCTATTAGATCAGCCCCACCCGGCCCAAGGAGGGGACCCGTTTCAAATTTGGAATGCGTGGCACACTGGCACTGGTATGGGACCTCCTACGCTTTTTCTTTTTTCCTTTAAAATATTTCATATGACTTATTAAATTAATGTATTTGGAGTTTTTGTTAAACCCAAAAATGATACCCTTCAGGATTATTGGTAAGCTTTTAAGTTAATCTCAAATACATATATATTTAAGGGATAATGCTAGGCTTACCACATTTTTATACCTCACTCTATATCACCTCTCTAATAGAGATGGACTGGAGTCCACCTCTATTAGAGATGTGATATACAATATGGTATAAAAATATGATAAGGACCTCTATAATAGAGGTGGAGTCCACCAATATAATGGGGCCCACCTCTATTATAGAAATGGTACACAATGTGATATAAAAATATAACAACCCTAGCATTTTCCATATCTAAATATGGAATAAATGCCGTTACTTACAAATAATGTACATTTAATATATTTTAACATGAGTGAGAATTTAAACATAAAATGTGATGGATCTTTAACATTTGTGTTTAAAGACTTTAAAAAAAATTATGAGCATAGGGAGGGGAGAAACTAAAAACAAGTTGTTAGACTTTTGAGAATATGATAATGATAATATCAATGCTAAAGATTCATGCACATAACGTTGGCCAAGAAATACTGAACACTTTCTTGGATTTTAGAGGGACTGCTGGTCTCCTTGGTTAGGAGTGAGGTCAACAATGTTTATTCCTTCGTTTGGACTATAGGATTTTATTGAAAAAACAAAATTAAATCTCCATTAGGCTGTAATTCTGTCATCATTTCAATTCCCCACACATAAGTTTCCAACATCATTTCAGCGAAAAGGGAACGAAACCGGAGCAACATCATTCACCAAACCATAAGTTCCCAACATCTAGCTCACAATTTCACTTCACAGAAACCGTACTCCAAAGAATTGTTAGAAGTCTACCATTTTGACTATTTTTTTAAAGCTGAATTTCGACTCTCATTTCTGATTATGGTGCATCAAGAAATGTTGTCACTAGTATAATAAGCCTCATGACAACTTCGACACGGATCATACTAGTGCTGTCTCTCTTTAATCTGTTTAACATGAAACCATGGAGAGCATTTTCTGTTGTATTCTGTATCTTCAGCTGCTTCTTTGTGTGCTTATCTCATGCATCAGATTCCCTCAGGCATGGACAGTATTTATATAGAAATGAAACCTTGGTTTCTGCTGGTGGAGTGTTTGAGCTAGGCTTTTTCAGCTCCCATGCTGCACCAAATGGATACTTGGGAATCTGGTTCAAGAATGACAAGAACCAAAAGCCAGTTTGGGTTGCAAATAGAGATAGCCCCCATATGGATTTCCCAGGAGTACTGGGTTCCTCAGGAGTATTTCTCACCATCAGGTATGATGGGAACATGGTGATTAGTGATCGAAGAAATAGTCCGTTTATTCTGAATTATGGAGCACTTGCATCAAGCAATAACACACGTGCAACAATTCGTGACTCGGGAAATCTAATTCTCATGGAAGGAGAAGAGATTTTGTGGCAGAGTTTCTATTATCCGACAGATACATTTCTTCCTGGAATGAAATTGGGGTTGTTTAACATGAATACTGAGCAGTTGAGGGAACAGTTTCTAGTATCCTGGTTTAGCGCATCTGTCCCTGCTGATGGTTCTTATGCTTTAGGCATTGATCCTGTAAACAATACTCAGTTCAATGTCTGGCGCAGTGATGGTGCTTACCAACAGATTGGCTTGTGGGATGGCCATGAATTTAAGTTCTTCTTCCAAAGCACATCAGATAATCTCAATTTCAGCTTTGTTTGGAATAGCAAAGAGATTTATCTTACTTTTAACAACAAAAACACTAGCATGCCTTCATGGTTTGTGTTGACCTCAAATGGGGAGATTGATGAGTTCAGGATGGTAGGGCAGGAAATTGAGATTGTGGATTATTCACTATGTGATGACACAATGGCACGCAGTTCTAATGGATGTTTGGTGGCGAAGCCATCGGCATGCTCAGGTGGAGATAATTTCTCAAACACCAGAGGATCACTGCCGAGTTCAATGGTTTTAAGCTGGCCAATTCATGTAGATCCCTATGACTGCGAGATATTGTGCAGGAACAATTGCTCATGTGTTGCATATGCATATGCTTCATTGCAAGATGAAGGAATTCTATGTCAACTTTATTATGGAAATAAAAGAGATCTTCTGAAACTGGTGGGGACAGGAAACAGTACTGTTTATGTGCGTGGTAATGCTTCTAAATCCGGTAAGCTTTCACCTTTATTCAAACTTCGATGATAATAAGAAGAAACACTGTATTTTTTATTCATTTTGAATGCCTTCAAAGTTTTTAGATGGTAAGATGTGAACACCCTCCCTTTTTCTCTACCTAAAATCTGAGAGAGTTTTTTTGCTTTCCCTCAGATAGGAAGCTGTTGGTTGTCACAGTTATGGTGATTCCCTTGGTATTCTTCATTTTGATCTTATTGCTGCATCGTTTATGGAGAAAGTTAAACTCTTTAGGTACGTTAACCAAATTGAGTTGGCCAACATATACCAAAACTTTGCCAAATTAAATATGTTGTGTGGACTTATTTCTCTGTATCAACAACAGGAATTTATGGCTTCCATAATGGCATGAGAGACAGTATGAGGTTATTATTGTCGCAGTTGAGCTCTGATGATAATGCAAGCAGTCCCAATGTTATAGAACTTGGAACGAAGAAGGATCATGAGTTGCCATTTCTTAGCTTTTCCTTCATAGTGACATCCACCAATAATTTCTCTCTTGCAAATAAGCTTGGACAAGGTGGTTTTGGGCCTGTTTATAAGGTGTGTGTGCAGAACTAACAATAAGGCATATGGTGACAGGTTTTATTGATTTCTCTTTTTGATCATTTATATACATTGATACTCTGTTATATTAGATTCAAAGTTTCCATGGAAAAAATTAAAAAAACCAGTATCTGCTCTTTGTTGCAGGGTAAGTTACTAGAACATGACATTGCAGTCAAAAGGCTTTCCAAAAATTCTAGACAAGGACCGTTGGAGTTCAAGAATGAGGTGCAGTTAATCTCTAAGCTCCAGCACAGAAATCTTGTTAAGCTTTTGGGTTGTTGCATTCACCGAGAAGAAAAGATATTAATCTATGAGTACATGCCCAACAAAAGCTTGGACTCCTTCATTTTTGGTTTGTAAATTCATATATGCCCATTCCTTATCTTATTTTTGGCGGTCAGTTTCTCTCATGCTGTGTAAATTGCAACTCATGCAGATCCAACAAAGCGAAGACTATTGAATTGGACACAGCGCATACACATAATTGAAGGGATTGCTCAAGGGCTTCTTTATCTTCACAAGTACTCTAGATTAAGAATTATTCATCGAGATCTGAAAATTAGCAACATCTTATTGGATGCTTATATGAACCCCAAGATATCAGACTTTGGCATGGCTAGAATTTTATCCGGGAATGAATGTCGAGCCAAAACAAATCGGGTTGTTGGAACATAGTAAGTAACTTCTGTATGTTTATACGCACAGGTAGATTTAGTAATGCCTGCATTAGTGTATTTAAACATATGTTTGTCATGCAGCATATCCTTTTGATAAAACTCAAATGACTCTTTTTCCCTTTGGTTGAAACCAGTGGTTATATGTCTCCTGAGTATGTGATGCACGGCCTTTTCTCAACAGAGTCCGATGTATTCAGCTTTGGAGTCATTGTGTTGGAGATTGTAAGTGGCAGGAAGAACGCAAACTTTCATGAGTCAGATCATTCTCTGAACTTATTAGGTCATGTAAGTGGTAACACCTTGCTTATGAATTTATTATATTCTCATGCCCTGGTTTATTTTATCTAAGGTGTTAAAATGTGAAAATTGTTGAAGGCATGGAATTTATGGAAATCTGGGCGATGCGTGGAGTTGATGGATTCGACATTGGCTGATTCAAGTTCAACGGATAGCATTGCGCTCTGCATTCAGGTAGGACTTTTATGCGTCCAAGATTGTGCAGAAGAGAGGCCAACCATGTCAGATGTTGTTTCCATGTTCAGCAATGAAGGGGCAACTTTACCAACGCCGAAACAGCCTACGTATTCTAACCTAATAACAGAGGTTGATAAACCATGTTCTGAAAATCTTTTGACATTTTCAGCCATGGAAGCACGATAACAACTTCAAACTTGTATGCTCAAGTTTATCATTTATGTACAGATGGATTGCCTGTATAGTTCATGTTCCTGTTCATGTACAGATGGATTGGTCAAGTTTTGATCCAATCCTCATTGTCGCTGAAATTTATCCACTTGCAATGAAATTTCTGCTTCTTAACAAATGAACTTTTTCTTAAGAAACCACAAGGGTTTTTGAACTTTTGCATTCATTTCCTATAATTGTGTATGCCTTTTGTTGCGGGGCTGTCAGGTTGGCCATATTTTTCTCAGTGTATGATCTGTACATTATTGAAGGAGTGGAAGCTCACAGTTATACAATGACATTTGATTGTTTCCAAACTCCTCAAATGTTGTTTTCCTTTTTTTCATTTTGTTCAACTTCCTTGTTAACTCTCTTCTCTCATCTCACTTTTCTGTTGTTTCTAATCCATATATATACTAAATCTCCAAGGCATTACCCTGCAGCATTTATTTTGTGGGCTTTGACTTTAATTTTGCATTTGTTGGTTAAAGAAATGAATCAAATCTCTTCAATATGAAAATTTGCTAAAGGGATTTAGTCCAATGAACAAAGGCATTGACTTGTAGACCAGAGGTCATGGTTATGTGTGTTAAAAA